TTATTGTCGGTTATGCACATCCGCTGTTCACCTAAACCGCATTTGTATAATATTTTATACTCATTTTTTAAAAATTAAAAACATAATGTCAACCCTTAAACGGCGCACACGGTGCAACTGTTTTGGGACTTGGGTTGCAAATCAATTTCACTGCACGACTGGTTTTCAACAAGACTGATTGTGGATCATTTGGTGTTATCTATTCTGTAAAACTCAAGAAAAATATTTGTATTTAAACAACTCTTACAATAAACACAAAATGTATGACTACAGCTGTATAAAATACTTTTACACGATAAAAATGTATTAAAAAAACCAATTTATTCCTTATAATATATTTAATACCTAATACCCGAGCACCACAGAATTATTATCATTACCGCAGGGTACACAGGGAGCATTGGGTCCGTGTAAAATTTCGTTAGGTTCCGAGTAAAGCCACGCACTTGGCTCGGGTTTAATTGTACGCACTTTTAATGGGAAGACGACTTAAACCGCGACAAAGCGAATTATAAGCACGCGAATTATACCGAAATGTTTGCACCCTACATAACCGACATTTGCATATTCGTATTGTGTGAAAAAAAACAAAACGTACAACAGGAGATTGATTTAGATACTTCCATCATTTCAGGTCACTAGCATAAATATCATATAAATCAAACCAACGAATCTTTGTCCGTTGTATTTTTGCTCGCGGTTTTTCTTTTTATAATCAAAGTTTTTCGAGAAAAAAAAAAACTAACGACGGCGTTACGCTAATCGAAAACAACAATCTGAACATCACCTAGAACCTATATATATATATATATATACACAGTGTATACAATCCGTGTGGTTTTCATTGAAATACATATTATTATTGTGTCATTGTTATTGCCTCAACCGTTTAGGACAACAGTCACACCGTTCATATCAGTGTGTGTAAAGTACAAATATTATTATTATATTAACATACATGCAAATTTGCTCACGATGAGTACCTGAAAGCGGTTTGACGTCTTCGTTCAATTACCGCCAACTGTGCGCTAACATCATTACACTCATACAGCTACAGTGTGATAGGAAATCGATGGAACTACTCATACTACTCACTTGAAACTAGTCAAATTCAATCGTGTAAAGTATTGGCGTGAAAGGCAAAAAAAAAAAAAGGATAAAAGCGGCGATAGAATATAGTATATTATTAAAATTGTCCATAAAGTAATAAATCCATTCATTTGTAGTGTTAATAGTTCAGTATACCCTATACCCCTTTGAAATCAGAAACCAACCGCCAACTGAATCCGACAAAGAAGTAGCGTGTCGGAAGCTCGACGTGGCATACTATTTAATGGAAACCGTTTGGCAACAAAACAGCTAAACAAATATTAAAAGAAAATAAGGAACGGCGGCCATGGTTGAGCTTCGAGGTAAAAATAACATAGAGGGAATTTCCGGTACTTATTCCGGAAATAGTAATTTGTAGTGAGCTTCGTCATAATATTGTGTAATACTTATTGATCCTGCGATACTGTAATTTCTTTTAAGGTACCACATCTGCGTAATTTGGACTTTGGTCGAAAACAACTCGTTCCAACTTTGACCGTAATCCGAAAATAGCTTTGAAAACGAATGAAGAGTTTTCAAATACTTGCTCGATTAAATATCAAAAGATACTTCTTTCCTGTGTCAACATACGAGTTTACAAATTTTAGATTGTTAAGTGTTAATGAAAAATTGTCTATACAATGCGCCTTAAGAAATGATAGTGTAGAGGTCTCTTAATATTGAATTTATTTCCAAACAATGTTAAGTAAAATACTGTTTCGGCTAAAAGCAAGACTTGTAAACTTTACTTCCCGTTTAACTTTCTATGTTTATTTTTGAATACAGAAAAAACAAATTATGATTACACATGGACCCAGGGGAATCGTCCTGACTTGATTTGTTATTTAATGCATTGCTATAAAGTTTAGATAACTTTTTGACGCAAAAAAAAAAAATCCAGCGTAGTAAGAAGTTATTTAATCATCGTCAAACAATTATATACAAACCTGTGGATAGTACAAAACCAGCAAAGTAAGAAGCCAGCCAGCCAAAGATTTACATCGAATCGTTTTTTATAACAATCTTGACCTTATTTATTATTAAATCCTTACTGTAGTGAATTAAAAAGTTAAACTCGAATTATTGTTATAATATAAACTATAGAGTAATATCTAATGATGTAAGAGTGAAATAACAAGTTTAAGTAATACTTGAATGATATATATTTTATTCTTATACTATCTGAATGTCTTGCATTTTGTTTCGGAGTAAATAGTGTCAAGTGATATATTTTTTATTGTTAAGAAAAAAAATAAGTTTACCTAATACTATACACATCAGACATCAGTCGTGATAAATTATACTGACACATCACATAGGCTAGATAAACTACTTACTCTTCAAGTGTTCTATGATAAATGGAAAAATAATCCTTTGAGATAAATGTTAAATGTTTCAAAATAGTATTTTGTCAACCATCAAAATGCGCATGAAAGGTGAACTTAGCACAAGAGTTAGACAATTTACAGGGTATTGCCTAATTCAAGTAGGTATTCGGTAAACAGATGCACGTGTTATAGTTAAATGATAAAGAAAAAAAAGTCTTAAAATCATGTTAGGGTAAACAATATTTAACAAGAACGAAAAGCTAAAATCAAGTTGTGATTTATGATATTAGAGTTTTTGTTATGTTTATTGTACACTTATTGTGTATACTTTGCTCTATTAAGAAAACTAAAATTCTGCACAGCAAATACAGTGAAAATTATAACGGTCAAGATAAATAATGTAATATTACATGTATTGCTCCAAAGTATCATCACTAAAATTATGAAGTTTAAATTTTCAGTTTCTAGATCAAGATTGTACAAAACTGTTCCTGTAGAAAATCTTCTAGCCACTGAAATCACTAAAATAATAAATAAGCCCAACGAAAAGTCAATTTCCATTCGATGTGGGTTCAACAAACAAACTAAAAACACTTTTGAGATAAACAGCATATGTGAAAATCATTTAAGTTCGTTGTTTTTATTGTCCTTGACACGAGCATATTCAAAAGTTACACGGAAGTTAGTAAATCAAAGTTTAGACAAAAGAAATATACATATACATAATACATTAAAAAACAATATTTATATATTTCCATTACATTGTTTAAAAACTCAAACAAATTCAGAGCGTTTTATGTAAATATTGTTATAGAAAATAAACATAATTACGTCTCTCAATGTTCATCCGGAATTAACTTAATGCATGTAATATATAGTACACACTCATATCATACACTGTGATTAGGCCATGGACACAGAAAAATATGAGTTATAAATTGGTTAAGTTTGTATGGAGCATGTTCGTCATAGAAACGTCATAGAGTTGTTTATATTGTTCATTGATCGGTAAATACATATTTATTTAAATTTGTTAATTGGTCAATTAGCATTTAAAATAGTTTCTTTAGATCACGCTAAACGTTAAATCTATTGCAATTTTTTGTAATTATTTATTTTAACGATTTTTTTTTATATAATTTTTTTAACCACCTATAAGTTTCTATTTATAACTGTTACCACTTAGAAGACATACCAAACATAATGGGACGGGTTGACCTATGCTTCGGAGCTACGAGAATTAATACATTTTTATAAATACGATTTTTATTTTCAACCTAACTTGGATGTCGGTTGCTGTATTTTTAGATCATGTAAACAACCTGCCGGGAAATAATGAAACGATCAGTGGATAGGCGAGAAGATGGCAAAAAATTAATTATCATTGACTTCTTGTGTGAAGTACATACTTATTTCTTGTGTATAACGAGCCAAAGGCTTTTTTTTTACAGATGTACCCATGTAAAAACATACATATGAAGGGCACAGGGGAAAAACGGTAGTTGTCACATTATGAAAATTTTAGAGTATAGCAAAAACAAAGTTCGTGAATTCCTCTACCTCTTACATAAGAACAAAAAAAAACACATTAAATGCTACTCTTATAATAAATGTATTTATTTAAACAATCTATTGACATAAATAAAAAATAATTATTGGCATAAATTGCAAAAAACTATTTGAAAAAAACATTTTTCATAATGTGACTACTACCGTTTTCCCCTTCATATGGTCTTTATGCGTATTAAGGCACGACAATTTTACATAAGATGTATGAGCAATTAACTGCGACTTAACATCCATGTTATTAAGCGCTGACTGATGACTACCAAGAGAACAATTTATTATATTAAATTGCGGGTCTCATTAGCCATGAACTATTTTATGTCTAATAGATTGTTTTAGGCTCATTATTTGCACAATTTTAGAATTGGCTGCTCCAATAAGCAAACTAGGTTTAACTAGTAGGTATAACAATAAGTTATGTATTATAATGTCGTATTATATTGATATTATGTGAGCTCGTCTTTAACGACGGTATTCCCGTATTACTGAGCACGTAAGATTACTGGGTTTCAGTTTATTCTACATTGAAATTGCATTCGAAACAAAGGATCATAATCCTCGAATGTATATTATTTTTTTTTTCTAGCTTACTTTTGAAAAACAATATAATCATTGTCAAACCACATTGCTTCAAATTCCAAAGACTTTATATATCATTATACAGTTAGTAAATCAGCATTTTATAGACCTAATTTTTAGAGTTTAAAACGCTCATGATAGATCTTATATTTTATAGTTCACGTACGTCATTATAATTCATTACGGTATTACGATTAATAACTTATGTATTCGGCAAAGGAAAATTATTTTCTTTTTTTAGATTTTCTAATTAATAGGGGTGAGTGGATGACGTTATAATTTACATTTTTTTCAAGAGGGCCCTGATGTACCTATTTAATTATGCACTGGGAACTTGGCAAAACAAACTCATGATAACTTCATGAAGACAGTACAACTAATGCGTCAAACGTCATTTCAAAATCGTTACACTGAAAACAATAATCCGTGAAAACTTACCTTGGAACTTTGTCGGCTTTTGCAAAAGCGTTAAGACGCTTGACGTGATAAAGCATATTGATACGAAGAACCGGAAAACCGCCATATTTTCTGTTTTAACGATGCACGGTACTTCCACACAGCAAAGTCATAAAATCGCACACCGTATTCTTGAGTAGGTACGTCACGTATTACAACACACTTAATGCGAATAAAAATGTCCGGATTTTTTTCATTTCATAACTTATATTCATTCGAACAACGGCCACGATTCGATTGCTTATGTATTTTCTCAACAATTAGCATCGTTTGTTTTCGCCAACAATATAAAAACATGTTTCAAGCGAAGAATGTTAATGCAAGATTGCTACAGCAGCTAAAAAATATAAGATGTAAACTCATTTAGATTGGATTTTATGTTTTATTTAATGATTATTTTTTTACAATGAAATACCACTTCTCAGTAAAAATAAAGTGATTTAACAGCCTCTTTTAATTGTCAAACATCTAGAGCCATTTAGAGTAGGTTAAATAAGAAAAGTTAGGTCAATTTTACTTTTTTACTTGAATAGAAAACTAAGATTATAATAATTAACTGAATAATAAACTTAACTCTATAAGGTAGTAGATAATTTACTCATTTTGAAATTTAGAAGAAACTAATACGATTTTAAAATCGAAGCTAATCTAAAGCGTCAATGGTGTGGTAAATTAGTTAAATTGGTTAAATCATGTTAATGTTCTTTTTTAAAATTTAGCCCTAAGTAATTAATTTAGTATATACTTCAGTCAATTACAAATGTAATTAAGCCTTAACTCGATTAAATATATTTAACCGTTTATTAAGAAGCCACTATAGCTATTAAATAATCCTAATTTAAAGGTTTAATAAACCCAGGGGACTACACATAATGAATTTTATTTTTAATCGTAAATAAAAATTAAGTACAATAGTATACTATTAGGGTAGAAAAAATCGTTTTAATTTATTAGTTATGTGAATATGAAATATAAAGAATTTGGAGACAATATATACCTATAATGTTTTTTGTACTATAATATTTTGTATTATTAATATTCATACAGAGAAAAGAATTTAAATTTAAAAAAATACCATAAATGTACAATACTTTAAAACCCTGGCATTGTATTTGTATATAAATCCTATGTATGTACTTGTAGCTGGGTGCGTTGTAAGACCATTGTGAGGCTTGTTTAAGAATGTTTAAATGCATTCGATAAAGTATACTGTACAATTGTTTAATACATGCGAAACACAAGAGGCAACCATCCGAAGTAAAAAGCGGATGTGCATGGTATAAAGTGTTCTCAACACACATAACCAACTGCAAAAGTACCCAAAATGGAGATAGATGTTTTGGAACGTTTTCAATTCTAAACTGCAGCGCTATTGAAAACCACCCAATACACGACAGTTTTATGTTTTTCAAAATTTATTCTTTCCAGCCATTTTACAACCGTTTCGAGTATCTACAATTGTTTGTTAACAACGGTTAGCCAGTTGACTAATTCTAACATGTTGCGGTACTACAAAATTTAATATCTTATTGGCAACTGAGATACTATGTAATTTTAGTTATTGCGGTTTACTGACGATTAAACCAATAATTCCGAATCTCAGTAGAAACATATTATGTGTACTGTAAACATGGAGTGTAATAATTGAACAGGTTTATTCGTCGAAATTGCTTTAGCAGATATCTTGTTATTATTAATTTACCAATAAACTTTATTACATAATAAACATTATCTATATAAACACAAATATATTATACTAGCCTGTTGCAATCATTTTTTTTTCGCGAATTGTATTCCAGCGGGCACGTTTATATGAATATCCAGCCAAAAAGTTTAAGAAAAGGAGTTTATCCGGCCAAAACAGCAAAAAAAAAACTAAATTATATCGAAAATAAATATGGAATAATCGGGAATAACTTAAAGTTATTTTAATATTAACAAATGCAAATAATTCAATTGAAAAAGTGCAAACAGAGCATAACCACGTATCAGATATATGCAAATTGGTAGTAAAGAAAGAATTCCAGAGAATAAAATTCCAAGCTCTATCATAACAAGATAACCATCGGCAAATAATTGATTCATTGTAACTAAATCCATTTATATGAGATGCGCTTACCTGAAGTATCTAACACCGCCGAATCTACAGTAGCTTTTTAATCTCGAAATACCTGAGAAGAATACTTAAACTAAAGGTAAAAGACAGTTCACGCAGTACAATAGTGAGCCATCAGTTGATCGCATTTCAATACTTTGAAGACAACTTGATAGGTTTTTGAAAAAATAAATATTTTTTGGGGCGTACTCTTTACGACCATATTAATATGCTTTGCGACGGGTAGCGTGAATTTTTTTTTATTAAAACCGGCTAATATATTATATAACAGTGCATAGTATAAAGTTAATATTTGTTAAATGTATAAAAAAAATAGGTAAGCTATATAATGTATTTTATTTTAAATCTTCGACCTTTATTAACGAGTAAGGTTAATTCACTAGTTTTTATGAGAAGTGTTATTAAACTGAATTTTATTTCGATATCAAACAAGTCAAACTTTATTTGATACACGCTATATTATTAATGCAAATATGAATAATTGTTAAAGCCTTATTTTAATTGTGCAATTACATTTGATTTGTATTGACACTGTACCCTGAAGTGTGTTGTTACAACTAATTAGTAAACAAAAAAATTGTTAAAAAAAAAAAAAACAATGTTGTCGTTAATTAAACTCGAAACAATATTTTATATTACCTTACGGATATTTTTTTGGTTATATCGTTCGCCGGATAAAGCGATTAACCGTGTACTAAAAAAAACTGCTTAATCATTTCAACGAATTAAAAACGTTACAAAAAAAACGTCCAAACGATTTGTCTGTAATATTCGCGTCCCGTTCGTTATAGCAATACCGAAAGTGCACATGGTTAAAGGGGTACTAAAAGGCTGAAACTGTGTGGCCCACCTATAGCGTCTGAACAACAACACCGTCGTAGCCGGTGGCGCACGCGTTTTCCTCTGTTAAAAAGCGCAAACGACGCTTCTTGCTGTATTTTGTCCGCAAAAATTGTTAAATATATTATACAAATGGGTTTCAATAGGTATTATCGTCGAAATAAACTATGTAAACATCTCTGAAAATTATATATATATATAGCATTAAGGCGATTACATGCGGTCTGTTTTTAAGGAATTTTGTATGGGCAATATTTAATTTGAAAAAATAGGTTTTATTAAATTTCGACCGCGACAATTTCTTTACCGGTTGATTTGTATAAGCCCTCGAAGCTTAGGTATTTTTAATTTAAATAATTTCGTTGCCAGACAAAATTTCGACTACATAGGATGGGATGGTCCGATTTTAATTCTGTTAAAGAGATTCGATCGTTCTTTGACAACTTTACTTGGTTGTATAGGAAGCCGGTTTTCGTTTATTTTAACAGTTTCAGTGTCTTGTAATCAAATAAATGAAATTTATATCTAATAATCTAATAATATATTATTTATATCTAAATTTATAAATTTATATTAAATTTCAATTTTTATATATTAGTAGTTATTACTATTTATAAAATAATAAATTGTACTTGATATTACAAACATTACCTCGATGACTAGAAAACATTATACAATTATTATTTGTCATCACTGTTGGGTGTATCAAGTAAGATGACGTGAGATATTATATTATGCGTGTTAATATGACAGGTTATCGTTATACAACCTAATTATATTCTCTGGTATTTAAATGGTAACCAATGAATGTGGGTTAGTTAAACTAATTAACGGCAATAAAGAGTTTAATTAACTCTATATTGCCGTTAATTAGTTTAAGTCTTCTAGGTTTTCATAACTGATTTTTTTTTTATAAACCCAAAGTATGATAAGATGTTTAGCAAGTATATAAGTATATTATAACAATTTCCATACTATATCTGTTTCAAGTCAATTTATCAATTGATCAAACAATATGCGAGTTTCGAATAGTTTTGGTGACAACAGTTTCCGAACTTTAATATTATTATTTGACCCCCTTAAGACACTTTTGTTGTTTTTGACCACTCCTATTATTTCTATGGTTTACGTCCTATTACTTTACAGCTTTAAGACTTTAAGTACATCTAACAAATTCCAACTGAATTACGTTTTTGTTTCTAAGAGGTGATTATGTCTGGTTTCTAATCAGTTAATTTACTTGTATTTGTTTTATAATAAAATACGGCATTTAAAATAGTACAAATTCCGACCATAATTTCAAAAAGTATTTTCTGTGATCCATTAAGTTTACTATTATTCGAACTTTAAACTTATTCTTAAAATTTAGATTATGTAATCTTTAATTTAGGGCTAAAAAAGAAAAATTCCAAAATTTGAACTTGATTGGAAAATATTTAGAGTTGCTTAAAGCTTTTTTGTATTATCCATTTGATTAACACGTGTTAAGATGTTACCTTCTTTTCTTTTGACCATATCTTTTTCATTTTTACAACTACAATATTCGGAATGAACTCGTTGGAAAGATGATGAGAAAACTTCAAAAAATATTTTACATCACTACTTGAAAGTTTATATAATAATAAAAACAATGTTTAAAAACAATTTAGTCAATAAACAAATAGTTGATCAATTACTTTTTTTTATACATTTTTGAATTTTTTTTTTGTCATCTTTCCAGCGAGCTCACTCCGAATATTATTGAAGCTTTAAAATTGAAAAAGAAAAGTCTAAAGAAAAAGATATCGTCACATGTTTTAATCAAATGGACAATATAGCTTTGTCCCTTTAAATATTATCGGGTCACGTTCAAATTTTGACATTTTCTTTTTTTACCCTAAATTAAAGGCTTTTCGGGTAAACAAAAAAATAATTTTTTTGAGTAGGTCTAAATATATATATATGTATTATTGGCCAATGGTAAAAATACAAACAAATGTTGAAGATACTTTGAAACTGACTAATGAATTAAATACGGTTTATGTTTTGGGTTGCATAATGTACCAAATAAAAGGATTTTATATAGTATAACTATAAAATAGTATGTGTATTGTGTAGTTAAAATGTTTCCTCGACGTTTTCTTAAGTACACCAATACTAGTTGTAAAAAGAAAACATTATTAATTAAGTATCAGTATAGTAAATCTTATTTAACGTAGGCCGTACGATCATAGTCATAAAGCAACTATAAAATTAACTTAAGCTTACATAACCTGCCTAATTATTTTTTATCACCATTTACATAAAACACAATCCCTTTCTACGCATAAGTACAGATTTTGGCAAATGCCGTTCTATACGTATACAACTGTATAGTGACTTACAGCTTAATGCTAATTATATTGCCAACGTTAATTTAGAAGACAAATACACTTAAAATATTTACTATATTGTACGTTTGTCAAACCTCAAATTTGTTAAGAATCAAACCATTTAGTTTATGATATTTTATACTCTTTATCGAGTAAAATATTACTATTTAGTGTGCGCTAGTCCTAATTTTGGTAAAAATAAAAAAATACAACATTGTGAAAACAATGTCAGATACGCATCTAAGTTAAAATACTAATAATATGTGTAACATTAACATGTTAAATTTAAAACTATTCAATCTGTACTATCATCTATCCTTATATATATATATGTATATTTATATATTTTATAACAATTTAAATTCAATATTATAATAAACTAATTAAGCATATGTTAATGAATATTAACAGGTAACGCCTAACAGAATTGTTGCTTATAAAGCGTGTAACACGTTAATTATAATATAATAATAGTGCATAAAGTTTGCCGTAGCAAAATCAAAACAATTTTGTGCTTAATAAGTTATGATCACATGTAGAGGTTTCAAGAAAAATTCTGCATCGTAACCACAGTAATGGAGCTAAAATGATGAACGTTGTAATTGGTAACCGAAATAAATTACGGCTATATAGATGAGCATACTAAGGAGAGATACTTTAGTTAAGTTTTTAATTGCATGATGTGAAAGCCTGCTAGCCGTTCCTGTGTTGGTGTAAAAACTTCTACTTGTTTTAAGTTAGGTAAATTAATTTAAGACAGAGAAACGAGAGATAAACCATTAACGTTTTAACCGACATCGTACGTTCAGTAATCAGTTATATAACTATTAAAAGAAGAGCACAAAAGTTACACTTCCCAGCTGTATACAATATGCACAGTATATTAACACTCTAAATATGAAACTTAATTTTTACCATAGAAAAAGAAAAAAAATTATTATATAAAACTAATAAATTGTTCATACAACGAGAATGTACGATATTTTACTTTATTACAGATAGTTATTAAAAATTAATTTATTAAAAATAATAATACATTTTTAATATTTTATAATGAGGTACTCAGACTATAGAAAATTGCCTATAATTATTTACCTAGTCACTCAATTGTAAAGAAGTTTGAATTCAAATTATTATTAAATGTACTAACGTAATCAAAATAAAAAATAAAACGTTACAAAACCGATAACTCATTATTTTTATCTGTGTTTTTTGTGAAAGTAGTAGTCGGTTGAAAATAAAATTAATAAATACAGCAGTCTGCTTTTACAGGAACTTAATTTCTTCGAAAGTCAGGATATAAATTATCTTTCTTTGCTTAATTACTTTTAAATTGAATGGCATTTAGGTTTAAAAAAAAAAAATCTCTACTCGATTTATTTAAAAGTTCCCGTCTAGTTATTAAACTGATATTATTATGAGAATAACAATTACATAAATCTCAGAAATAACCAATTAAATTTATTTCATCTCTGAATCCATAGCATAACGCAGTTGTTAGGAAGCTGAATTTAATTTACATATTTTACCTTGCACTAAACATCACAGGTTTAATAATTTATATTTTGTCAAATTGCAGTGTTCAATTCGAATTATTGATTTGTATGGCTTATTATTTCACAATACTGAGTACATATATATATCGTTATTTCAAAAAATAAGTAGGTAGTGATAACTTAATAAAAATATAATATTACAAAAAAAGTTTATAATTAAAATAAAATAAAAATGAGTAAAATGTGTGTTTGAATGATTCATCTTAGGTTATTATACTTGATCGTTACTGTTAAATTAATCAATACAAATGAATTAAGAGAAATAAAATGAATTATTAACAATATCGCATTAAATATATTAAATTTATAAATTATTATTATTAATTATTGTCCGTTTTTATTTGAATTCTAAATTTATTCATACTTTTTAGTGCAAATAGAGTAAAACAAATTTGCTTGTTAAAAGCATCGGCCAAAAATCAATAATAAAAGATAGAATAAAGACGTTTAATAATTAATTAAACTATTTTTTTTTTTACAATTCTAGTACACGTACAAAAAAAACTGCCATTTACTAACAAATAACACTAAACAATAACTGTATTAACACAGTCAACTATTTTACCATTATGTATATATTTTAATATATATATACACTCAATACAATTATTATGGTATTACATAATAAAATATCCAACTAAACACGACACTCATTTTCTTTTAAAATAATTACAATTTCTCAGTTTTTTTTTTTTTTTTGGAGACATTTTGGTTTATGTTATTTTACAATATTCAAAATTGAAAATGTTATCTTTTCAATTTTCTCCGGAACTTGTCAAATGTGACATCGTACATCAGTTTTCGGTTATGTGATGGATTAATATTTGAGTGTTATCTTAAATATTGGTCTTTGAATAAGCTGTACAGGAAGTCATGCATATATTATTATCCCTAAAATTCTAAAATATTGTTTATTCGTATTTTAATAATAATTATTTTACCAGTTTTGTTAACGCAACACCGTTTAAGGAATTTTTTTAAGTAAGAATAAACTATCTCGGAGTTTCCGTAATAGGTTGACTGTTACTTAAAATTTAGGTTGTCGACCTTACAATATATTAATACTGCAATAATAATATAAACAGTTATTTTAATTGGGAAAAGAAATTATTGATCAAACCCAGTTGCGATTTGTGCATACAGTACGACACACTTTGCAAATTTAGCGTGAAAAATATTGTACAGTAGAAAATTTTTGTGAAATTGCAATTTGTTAACACTTATAAAATGTATATATTCAATTATCACTGTTGTGTTTTTTTGTTATTCATTTTTTTTTCTTATAACAAACATGGTTACGCATTAGATAACAAGTGGAAAAAGAAGTACCTACCTGGTTAAGGGCATTGCATGCGGTTGGTTTTTAAGGAGTTTTGTATAGGCAATATTTAAGAAAAAAGTAGTTTTAATAAATTTCGATCATGTCAATTAATTTACCGGTTAATTTGTATAAGCTTCATGGTATTATTTTTAATTTAAATTATTTTGTCTATGAGTAAAAACCATTTTAGTTAATGTAACATACATTTTTTGTTTCATCGCACAAGCTGAACCAGTGATCCGATAAGTAATATGAAAACAGATTTGAATTTGCCATGAAAGTTATCTGCACACAGATTTGAATTCTTTATGACATTTACTTAGGGAATAAATTAAATCAATGATCAAAATTAACAATAGTTTTAGTGATATTATTGCAAATTGATTTTGGTATTTAAAATACACAGAAACCCCACATTTCATATAATGATACGTTCCACGTAAAATCATTGTATAATATACTAAAATATATTTTTATAATAGAGTATTATTATTTTTCGTTTCGTGTTCCAAATTGGGGCGAAATCCCAACAGTCCGAATAGAGGACAAAAGCGTAGGTCGTGCCTTATGCTATCCATCAACACGAGTTGCCTTAGCAACTTTAGAACCATACACACCACACGAACCGTATAGTATGTCGCGCTGGAAAACGCCAGAACCCCAACTGGCCACAACGACTTGTGTGTGTGTGTCTAAACCGTGTACTTACCGTCACTGATATTGCCGTCGACATGGACTACAGTTTGTATTACGGTGTAAAATCCAATAGGCTGTTGCTGGTCTCGGACAAGGCGCCCGGATTCGTTTCGGCCGTGAAAAACACATTGGCCGGTGTGTTTGTGGTCCGGTACAACTATGACACATCGTCGTTGGATGACATTATTTGTACGTATAATAATACATGTATATATATATAACAATAATAGCCATTCGTTTTTTAACAAGTCCACTGTCCGGCTAATATTTTACAAGCCATAATATCGTAGTACCGTACAAACGCGGTACTCGTGGCAGTCAACTTGATAAATAACCGCACACACAATCAACCGTTTATCCGGTTCGACTCAACGATGAAATTATTTAACTTATAGAGGAGGAGGGGGGGTGGGAGCGTAAGGGTTTTATGATTTATGGAGAAGTATAAAAAAAAAAAAGATAAATTGAAATATTCTATCTATCGGTTTTCTCTAAAACCGACAAAAAGTATCTATAACTTGGTTTCTAGTAACATGATCGAAAAAAACCTAGGTTAATATGTAGATAAACTCCTAATCTTTAATTTTGATCGTTAGCAAGTATACGCTAAAACCACTCGGTTTCCCAGAAAATTGCATATTCTGAGACATGTTTTACGCGCCGAATAAAAGTGGTGTGACGCCACTTCTTAATAGCTAGAAGTGTGTAAATATCTTATTAATTATATTCTAAGAAATTTCGAGTATTATTTCCGTATAAAATGAGTATAGTAATACACATAAATTATACTTATAATGAATACACATGGTATAATGAAAATGTTAATAAAAGGTAAAAAATGTAAAAAGATATACAAAAATATACTAAAAGTTATACTAAAATAGTATAACGTATTTTTACATCACTATATATTATTATATTCCACACAAAATTAATCCATAGTTAATAATAACCCAATAACAGTTATGTAGTTTAGTGTTGAAACATTATACCATATACGTTAAACGCACGGTTTCAGTACTTTGTAAGATATCTTTATTACAGCTTGATAGGATTAACTTATAGTCTCAGTTTTTGTATGTAAAAATAGCCAGTCAACAAAAAACAGTGTTTAAAGTCTAGAACCCTAACAGTTGTCTGGGTACGCGGGGTCAAGCACGGTTATCGAGAGCGCTGACCGAGTGGTTATTAGTTTGTATTGTTCCCGTTTCTTGGCAATACTCACTCCGGTAAGACATACGTAGGATTCACACGTCATACTGCGTTTTATGAATAGTTAATAAGCCGTTTAATTGTGGTTTTCCAGTTTTTACAGGCGATATTGCAACGTGTAGATAATAACACTTAAAGCTGCATACCGACACCGTACATGTAAAAAGTAATAATTATTATGGTTTGTCGGACAGTCTGGGTAAAGATAAACTCCAAATTCCACTAAGAACAGAATTCTTTATTATTACCATTTGACAAACAATATTAAACACCATGAATATAGTGTACATAGTACTATGCTTCAAGGCACCGGCAACAGTTATGAAGTATTAATAAACTCCTTATTAAAAAAAAAATCGTACGAGTTTGAAAGTAATGTAAAATAACATAATATTGTACGACTATACAAAAGTATTCCTAAATTTCTAAGAAAAATCTATTTTTAACGAATTGGTTTGTCAGTCGTTTTATTTGTTAATTTTCAAACTTGAAATAACAGCTAAAATAAACATATAATAAAGCCGAACAAAAAGTTTTCATACTGTATACATAAATGAATAATAAAAGAAAATTATTCGGCACAATGGTTAGGTTTTAGTTGGTATATTTTAATCTCAGAAAAAACACTACCCAAGTCTTGATGACTGTCGAAGTGTATTTAAATTTGTACATAATAGTTTTTTTTTTAAATAAACAACAAATGTATTAGCTAACGTTTCTGATTTTATACAACGAAATATGAAATTAAAAGAGTACAAAAGTAGTTTAAATGATTTTTGCGTTTAAACAAGTGGTATTTGCCGTTGTCGGTCGAACTTACCTTACACCTTTTGACCGTAATAAGAGCTTTTCAGAAGTCTTTTTTGGCGCAAAAATGTATTTGCAACAGTCACATTAATATACTTCTGTTTCGAGGGAATTTGTTTTTGGCACTTCAATTAACTTTACCCCGGAACGCTTTACTCATGTTACAGCTTTTGATTATAAGATATCAAAACAAATTAGTCACGTCGAATGACAAAAAAACGTTTTATATTACAAGAAATGAAGAAGAGTGGTGTACGGTCATTTTACTTTATAGATATCACTTTATGTAATAACAGTATAATCGACAATCTTTAAGCGATAAGACTTCGTAAGCTCGCAGCTTTCACTGCAGCTTAGTTTATATACTGTAAAGTTAAATGAACGAACAACAACTTATAATACTCTTTAGATACACGAGATAGTTATTTATTTAAGGAGTTGGCCAATTCAAAGTTTAATATTGTTTACTTTGTTTTTGTTTGCAGCAAAAGTAGACGACAAGATGCAACACCGGAAAGTTAAAAGTATTGCCATTCTTTTACACTCGGACGAAACCCAGTTTTATGTTTGTGCAATGGACCAAAAAGTTATTGTATTTCTTTTTTTCGCCTAATACATTAGTATTTATTGCTATACACAGCACCAATTCTGTTTCTGTTGTAAAAGAATATTGTGTGTTATGTATTAAATTAGTAGTAACCGAATGTCTTTATATTTTAACTTGATAGCGTCAACGGAATATTTGTACTTTTAAACTTATACAATATATTTTTTTCACAACACTGGGGATATGTGTGTGTTAGGTCTTGAACAGTGAAAGTATATCCGACGATCCGGAAATTAGTTATTTCTTCAAGTCATTATCGGAGTACTGCCATCGAGGTTCGTCGAGATTGGACTTTTTCAATAGTTGTTTAGCATCGAATTGCGTCAAATATCAACTGTGCTCGGCTCTCCGTCGACTGACAGAAGTATGTAAAAAATGAAAAACACAATAAACCAACCACGGGTTCCTGATAGTTTTAACGACGCATTCGATACATATTTAGTGTGAAGTTGGTATATGGGGAGACCTAATGGGCGAGGAGTCGTACGGAGAACTATATTTTAACATAACAGACGTACGTCCAACTAAAACCGCCTTAGACGGATACCAAAGGATCAGAACTGTGGGAAAAGGTCAGTTGATAATGCACGTAATGTAGTTTTTTTTTATAACCATCCGATATCAACCAAACCCCGTTGGTACGTATCGGCGATTTATTTATTGTTATTATTTTTTCTGGAATTTTAGGAGCGTTCGGAGTAGCAACGTTGTATCGGAATACAAATAAAAATATTTTGGTGGTCATCAAACAAATTAACATGTTGGACATGACAGCACAAGAGAGGCAATTGGCATTGAACGAGGCTAGAGTTTTATCGTTACTTTGCCATCCCAATATTATTAGGTAATAGGAATCACGCATCATGGTTTTAAATTGTGATAATTAATAATCGATACACTGGTTAATGTGTATAATATTATAGTTACTATGGAAGTTTTGAAATGGACGGAGTGCTCATGATTGAAATGGAATATGCCGATGGCGGTACTTTATCAGAATATTTGGTCGGGCGTGGAACCAATTTATTACCGGAAAAACAAATTCTAGATATTTTTTTACAAATGTCAGAAGCCATCAAATGTATACATCAGCGTAACATATTGCATAGGTCAGTACACGAAACAGTGGCATTGATGATGTCAATCATTATTTGGTCTTTTTACTGCATTGCACACCTCTAATGCGTTTCGTGAATAACATTATCCCACCAAAACTATGATACATTTTAATAAATAATGTATCGCTTAATAAAAAATTAAAAAAAATTTGAAAAACGTATTTAAGTACTAACGTGTTTTTTGTGAAAATCCACATTAATAGAGACTTGAAGACGACAAACGTTTTTCTGACAAGAGACCGCAAAGTGAAATTGGGCGATTTCGGTATTTCCAAGATAATGACTACCAAGTTACAAGCTCTGACAGTGGTCGGCACGCCTTACTATATTAGTCCGGAAATGGTGAGGAAGCGTTCGTTGAGCGTTTTTCATTTTCCTCAACCCCCCCCCCCCCAGCGATTGAAGTACTTAACGGGAAAAAAATTTAAACTGTTTTTTTTTTTTTTAAGTGCGAGGGCAAACAGTACGACCAGAAGTCAGACGTTTGGGCGCTGGGTTGTATATTGTACGAGATGACTAGCCTGCAACGCACTTTTGACGCTTCCAATCTACCGGCATTGATTCATATAATTACAAAAGTAAAGTACACCCCCCCCCCCTTTCCCCTGCCACCGTAAAACCGCGGTCTCGTTTTTCAACTTTGTCACCATCGCAGGAAGACTTTACGCCGATACCGGCGTGCTACTCTTCGAACTTGAGGAAATTGATTAACGATTTGTTGCAAAAAGATCCTTGCCGTAGACCGAGCGCCAACGACTTGGTGAACATCGTCCCGGTGTACATGGAATCGGATATCGATTCGAATTGGGCAGTGAACGACAATGACAACGAATCGTTTGGAAGTGACTCGCAATGCCGGTAAGTATGTTTTGCACGGTATCAACTCGGCAACACAATATTGCAAATGTCCTAAAAACGATAATCACATAACAATATGGGTTAGCTAAATAAACGAAATACACATGCCGTACGTATACGGTCTACTTAAAAAAAAAATAACTCAACTATTTGATCTGTCGCCGTTATTTATATAGTTCTGACCGTTTACCATGAAAGGAGAAAGGAAACGTTGTTAATTAAAGTTTATCCATATTGCTGCAAGTCGTTGTGCGCGTACGGTTTTGGCTTAGGGCAGCTAATGTTGTACCTTTTGAAAGTTTGAACTGTTTTCGAGTGCAACGTGTCAAATTGTTGAATTTTAGCTATTAATTGAGCTCTTTCGGCGGGACCTTATGTGTTGGGATAAAAGCTCTTTGATGGTCGGCACAAAGAAACAGGCAGTGCTACGTGCATATTGAGCGACAGTAATTAAACTACAAACGAAAATACACAATATGCCTTTTAAGTTGGATATTGTGTGAACATTTAAATTGTAATTTACGTTCGTTCAGGTCAGTGGTGTACCAGTTTTCATCGCCAACGAGTATTCAACCAATTAATTTGCCTTACCGCGTGCAAATCGTTCAACTCGCCGTCAGCCAGACGCATTTCGTCGCGCTTACCAACGGTAACGGCCGTTATAACGCTATTGGTAAAAGTGTATCATCGAAAATATAAATACTCAATTATGATTTCAGACTGTTCGGTTTTCACTTGGGGCGAAGACAAACACGGTCAGTTGGGCCACGGCGAAGAGAACGCTTGGAAAAACGACCCTCAACGCGTCGTCTCGCTGTTGGACAAACACATCACGCAGTAAAAATAAAAAACTATAACAATAATGCCTGATAAAATATAACATCAGCCATTCGTAGGTTGACCTATTTCAAGATGTCCGTATAGCAATATACCTATGCGTGTTAGCATAAAAACAAAATATACACCACACCGTGTATAGTCCGTGCGCGTGTTCCGTCGTTTAATTGGCTGGTGGTATAACTGCGAGCGTTGTGTCGTTTGGACAAAAAGTGATTTTTGGTGTAACGTGCCACTAGTTTTTGGCACCGAGTCGAAAAAACACAAAAAAATATGTCCATAATGTACAGCCGTTATGCGTCCGGTCGGTGACGGTTTTTGTTTTTGTTTTTTTGTTTAGAGTGGGCGCTGGGCTGAGCTTTAGCATTTTCATAAGCAGCACCGGCCTGGTATTGACCACCGGCGACGGCAAATACGGCGCTTTGGGTCACGGCGACTGGAACGGTGTTTGTAGACCGAAATTAATAGGTACGACCGAACGCTTGGCGCCACAATAAGCCAAAGCTGCCCGTATATTACTCAAGTCGAGTGTTGTCTGACTCGTGTCGGTTTTGTTTGGTAGAGTTTTTATTGAAACTAGACGTGGTGAAAATATCTTGTGGCAGTCATCACGTGGCGGCCTTAACCAACGAAGGTCAACTGTACGCCTGGGGCCGAGGAAATCACGGGCAACTCGGCGTCGGCAACCTTCAAGATTGGTACAAACTATTGCGATTATTTTCTAATATTGCCTACATGGGCCTGTACACATATAGTGTAGAACAACAACAGCCAAACTCTGCTCTATTAAGTACATTAATATAATTATAACGATACTCGTTACGGTATCTACGATAATAACGACCCCGTTCGTATAGCAATATATCTGTTGCAAAGTCGTTACTGTATAATAATAATAATAATAATATTATTATTGCTATTACTTGTGCGTAGCTGTTTCCCGATTTTGGTCAACTGGCCTTTCGACGAGAGTATAGTTTCCATACAATGCGGTCCCGAATGTACCGCCATAATTACCAACAGCCAAAACGTGTACGCTTGCGGGTTGAACAAATGCAACAAGCTCGGTTTGAACCGACCGTCTTTGTTCAGTCTTAAGGTAAATGTCTACCGTCAATAATATTTTATCAATGTTCGCCGATCTGACCGGACTGATCTAGTGCAAAAGATTGTCTAATAACATACACAGAAAATATAATCAGTATAGAAGAATTACTTGTGTAACTTGGATGTTTAACTGACAAGACCTGTCTCGACTATGTTAAATTTTTCATTTATAAACAAAAAGGTTATAACTCGTTACAGTAAACGTTCGGATAACGATTGTTCCGTTTGCATATTTTGGTCGGCATTTAATTTTACTAAGCTATACTTAATCGCAATGTTGTTGTATTATATGTTTATTTTGTTACAAACAGTATAAAGAAGTGGCATTCGAGAGTTTATTGACCAAAGTGAAATTGTTAGATGGTTTAAGAGTCGTTCAAGTTTGTTTTGGAGAGTGTCATAGTGCTGCGATAACCACTCAAGGTCAAGTTGTAATTTGGGGAAGCAATATTTACTCGCAACGTGGAAAATCGAATGTATCTCAAAATAAGGCCAACATACTGCGTCTACCCGGTTACAGCAAAGCCCAGGTTTAAATAAGTTTTCAGAAAGTTTATTTAACAGGCACCCTCTCCTTTATTTACGAAGGAAATAATATATAATATGTAAGGATAGAAATAGTTTAGTATTGTGCTATTTTTAAACTATATACAGTAAATGCATTTGTTTGAGCGCGGAACTTTAAGTTTCTGAATTCAATATTGTCCATAAGACGAGTTATAGGGATTGTTTGATAATATTTATGTTTTCCCGAATAAAATAAAAGTTTCTCAACAGATTTTTTCTAAGTTTATAATAATATTGTATACAGTCAGATAATATTATTTAATAATACGGGGAAAAAACAGTTGAATCTACTATAGTTATGGTTAATATAGACCACAATAAGTTTAAAGTTGGAATAGCTAAACATACACAAGTTAGGCTAACTAAATGTTTATTGAAAACAGTGCAATTAGAAAATTCTGAACCAACCACGTATTATGTTTTGTCATTTTTGTTATTATAGATAATCGATTGCGGACCTACGTACACTTTAATAGGCACTGACGATAACGCGATCGTTTTTTGCGGCACTCGTTTTAGTGTGAGTGAAAAAATTATAAAAAAAATTTACTTACACGATGATGCTGATATGACTGTATTTTTGTGAAATGCCAACAGATGAACAGCGACGCGCTGCCTCAAAATATGACATCAATGTTTACTTCGGAAGTGATTTCCAAGCCAAAAATCATACTTGGATTGTACGCGACGGACGACCAAATCGATAAAGGACAACTTCTGATATTAAACGCAGCGCAAGCAGTTGGACACAACATTGTATTAACAGTTGACACTTTTTTGAGAGTTTACAGCCAACAATAGCTGATGTTCGCTTTTATTCGGTTTAAATATAATATGATTGACAATCGACCACTGTCAGCCAGTCAAATGGTTAATTTAAAACAATTTTGCTTTGGTTATAAACATCAAACGTTTATAAACCGAAATCGATCATACATTTTAACCCTTGTGTTACAAAGCAAAATCATAGTCATGTTACTCATGGGGAACTATTATATTCAATAGGGAAAATTATTTCCGAGAAATTAACCCACCCCTCAGTGCATCCATTTAGTTTTATACATTATGCTTATGAGTTATCACCCACCCCCTACTACGTATACATGTCGAGAATCTGTCATTTAAAATATAAAATAATTGTACACATTTTTCATTGATTTCTGATTTCTAAAAATATATTTTTCCAATGTGTTCAAACTCAATTGTTATTACTATATTATAGTTAAAAAATGATGTTTTAGTCTTACAAGAAAATATTTTATAACCGAATCAATATTATTATATCTACAGATTGTACAGGAATATATTATATTTCTTAATTACCATATTCGTTCGTATTATTTTTAAGAAATTTAAATAAATAACTGATATTAATTTTTTATATTTATTTTAATACCATGCTATTTAATTTGTAAATACTGAAATAGGGTAGAGAAATGTAAGTGTTTGGGACCAAGTATGACAGATGAGGCGTGTAGAATTGAGTGAAGTTAGTCAAGGGGAAATAGGCAACCAGGGTGTTTTGTAACAGAAAAATGTTATTTAGAGAAGAAGAAGAATATAAGTAACTTAAATGAGAAAATTTAAACTAATTTAAATTAGTATATAGGGTTAAGGGATTCGGTTTAAATTGGTATGATTATATTATAATTTTGTTAAATACATTTGCATACAATTAGTGTAAATTGCCTAATCTTAGGAAAATTTAGTCCATACATAGCGGACGATTGGACATGGACATCCGGCTAAACGATACTATTAGTTAAACAATTAAAATATAAAGATAATAAAACAATATGCCACAATTATAATGAACGTGCGTTTCAATAGGCTGTATACATTAATGCTACTACCTATTTCATTATGGCTATACGAGTAAAAAAATTAGACAAACGTGTCTATTTGATATGCTTGACATCACTAATAGAGGATATGGTTAACGAATTTTCGAATAGTGATTATTATGACACGTGACAGTTGTCAAAATTGACCTACCAAAAAACACACAGTAGTGATTCACGCCAGATACAAGTTAGGAGAAGTCATCGACGTAGGATAGTTTAAACATATCAGGTACCTACAACAAATACAGAATAATTATTTAACGTTAATTTTCAGCTTTTAAGCCCCAAAAGACTTACTGCTCGTGGTGGAGGTATTATAACGGCTGTAATAATATTTGGTGTTAACGGTATCGTTTGATAGAGTATCATCCTAATAATTAATGTTCTATAATCATTTTGACAAGGTCGGGCCGTTCTTTTTATGAAGTTACTAACTTTAGGGCTAGGCAAGTTTCAGGCATAGCCCAATAAGTAACGTTTTTAATTCTGATCAGGGATTTTTAAAGGATTTTAACTTTACCAGATCCCTCTAGATGAGACAACTATTATAGTTGCAGTTTTGCAAAAAATTAATTGAAAAACAAGTATTGATATATATAACACGTATTCCGATAACCATTATGAAATGTTTACGTAGTAGTTACACGTGAATGATAATATTTTAAGTTTAAGCAGCTTAAATGTTATATTATTATCTAAAATGTTTATTAAGCGATTACATTGTGACCTATACTGCATAATAATAATTACTAAACGATTGTTGAAAAACAAAGATAATTTTGGTATTTTGTAAGTTTCTAGATCAAAATAACAATAATTAATAGCAATAATCTATGCTATTGCACAGACCACGCGTTTTATTTTTTTAAAGCCTTGTCTGCAAATCATTATCATTGTACACAATACAACTGCATATGCATGTATAACGTATATACTATACATGCATATAATATATCTACGTTAAAAGCGTAAATTACCGTAATGTTGTAATGATAAATAAACTGGTTGCATTTGTGAACGATAACCTATTTAACCCAACAAAAAACCCAAAACCAACCACAAATACAACAAAATCAACCAACAGCTTGAAAAAAAAAGATAACCTGTTTGACGATAACCATTATTTATACAATTGCAGCCAGTACGATAAACATTGTCGGTACAATCAAACAAAATAGACCGGCAGCCACATTTTTTTTGAAATTAATATTATTTTTCGACGAGAGCACATCCAAGTCCCAAGACGTCCACTACATAGCACAGAAAGATGTCGAGTGTCACGATTGCTTTTTTGTTGGCTCTAATGTTGGTGGGCGCACCGTGTCAGCATCTATCAACAAATGAAATTCATGGTATATATATATATATATATGATATATATATATATTAACAACATTATAATAATAACAACATTGCGGCTTGGTTATATATATATTTTTTGAATTTACCGTGTTGTTTATCCTTTGCAGACTTTGTCGAAGAAGTGGAAACCGTCTTGCATCTATCGAATAAGCAAAAGGCAGTCAGATCCGATAACACAGATCCAAATCCGCATAAAATACCGTAACTTAATTTATAGTGAAACATACAACTTGTCCAAAGGCTAAAACGAAGCCACTATAATAACTAACATAATATATTTTAACAGAAGAGTGGCAAATGCTATGTTTTATCAATTATGTATTTTTCTAAAAAAAAAATAATATAGTAAATAAAATGTCACAATGGACTTTATTATAATATAATTTGAATAATCAAATACTCTTCCAATTTTTTGAAAAAGACATTAATGTAATTTTTTATACTGCACTACGGTTGTTTTCAGGACTCGTTCGTTATTGTTTTTTCTTAATGTAGTAAAATCGACGTGATACATACCGACCGTTAAATTTCGTTGAACATTTTTACTATAACAAAAAAATATTACTTAGAAAATCAAATAATAAATATTACATTATAAATAATAAATACCACCCGCATTCACGAAAACACTAATAAATAATAAAAAAACTGATACTATTCCGAAAATATTGGTAAAACAGAAAACTTAAACGCATCACACCATTTCATCGCTTACCTCACAGAGATTAGGCTAAATAAGAATTAGGAATATCAGAGTATACAGAAGTAAAAATGTAAACTGATACTAAAATATATTATAATTTATAAGACATAATACATACTATACTATATTTTATTGCTAAGAAAGTCTAACAAGTAGTTAGGTGTACTGGTTAAACTTTCAATACGCAATAGAAGCAAGAATCCCCTCGATCCCATCACACATCACATCATTACATTTTTCCTATGAATACACTGTCAATAATTATTGCATTTTATAGGTCAGTAGATCCAACTAATGCCGTCGGTCTGCTGGATCCACTCGATATCGATTTGGCTGACCAGTGTTTTCCAAAAGCCAAGTGCGACCCCGACGCACGTTTCAGGTCTATAGATGGCAGCTGCAACAATCTTCGGTTTCCTAATTGGGGACAAACTAACGTCGCCAACTCCAGAATCGTTCAAGCCAACTACTCTGACGGTACTGTATGACATATACTATTCAATAAATTCTAAATCACTGTACAACAACTGTTGTGATCATTTAAAATGTACTACTTAGCACATATAAGCCTATTTGCCACTCGACCGATATCCCAATAAGGATTAACAGCCGTTAAACAATTGTGTGTACGTACCAACAGGTATTAGTCAACTAAGAAACAGTGTATCGGGCAACGCGTTGCCAAACGTCAGACACATTAGGACTACCATTTTCACTGACAGAGACATGCCAGCACCTAGACATAATTTGTACGTGATGCAATTTGGCCAAGTCATAGCGCACGACACCGAATTAGTAATATCGAAAACTTTGAGTAAGTATAAATATAATTTTTTAGTTGAGTTAGTCACCCGAAACCGCACCCTCCAGACTCGACTACTTTATTTTCCTTCCTTTTTCAACGTACTAAAGCATCTTAGTTTCTTAGCTTGTTCCTTCTATTTAAAAATCGATACAGCTTTTTAACTAATATCTTGTACCCTTTCCCAATTCTATCCCATCTATGTTCTCATCACTTGTATGCAACGCAAGACAAATTGTTTATGTAATTTTTGTTTAAAACAAGTGTTACCATTTAACAATATTCGAATATTTCACTCAGCCAAGTACCTATTTGTTTAAGAATCTGGGGCAAGTCTACAATGTTGCAACGCGGACGGAACGTTTCCGGCGAATTTACCAAAAGAATGTAAATCGATTGAAATCCCTAAAGACGATAAAGTGTACAAACATAGATGCATACCCGTCGTAAGCGCGAAAGACACGTCCGACGTTGGATGTGCCATCAAACCCGTCAGACAAGTAACGGCCAATTAAGAACCACGGCTTTCAATGTTATTACGTTGGTATTGTCTATTTGTACAGTTGATCGGAGTCACCAGCTTTATCGACGCGTCTTTGTTGTACGGATCAACCGACAAAAAGGCTGACGAGCTGCGGAACTTCAAAGATGGCAAGCTCAGGAGACAATTTGCACCCAACGGTGAAGCCTTCCCTCCCAACGTCCGCAACGCGACAGAAGCCTGTAACGTTGCCAACGCCAACACCGTGTGCTACGATGCCGGTAAATATCAAAGCATCTTAGATTATCGTTAAACAAATAATGGTCATTGTTATGAATTTTACCATTATCTATGTAGTGTCAAAAATTAATAACTATAGTTTGGACAAAACTGTTTAGGCGACTTGAGAGTAAACCAGCACCCCGACATAGCGGTGTCCACGACCACGTTGTTGCGACTGCACAATTCGCTGACCGACGAGCTCAAACAAATCAACCCTCGGTGGCAGGACGAACGGTTGTACCAAGAAGCCAGGAGGTTATTGATTGCCATGTACCAACACGTTGCATACAACGAATTTGTTCCAGCAATTTTAGGTGCGGTTAATCCCAGACAGGTAGAACCCAGGTTAAGACAGTTAAGAAATGCTAGTTATTTTTCAGGGTCTGATTTCTCTCGGGTCAACCAGCTGTTGCCGCAGAAAAACGGCTTCGACGACAACTACAACCAGTCTGAAAATCCTAACACGTTCACCAGCTTCACGAGCGCTGCTTTCCGGGCTATGCACAGCTACATACAGGGAAAACTGAAGTCAGTGTTTCGCGTATCAGGTGTACACCGCTAGTGATTATACAATTATAAAAATGTAATCCATCGATTGTTCGACCCGCAGTTTAGTGAACGAGTCCAGGAAGACCAAGGCCAAGATAGTTTTGAGCGATTTCTTCTTGCGCACGGACTTAGTGCAGAAAGACGATAACTACGACAGCTTCACCAGGGGTATGCTCACCCAGCAAGCTCAGGGACAGGACCGATTTTTCACCGCAGAAGTGAGAGCGACCCGACATCGAATCGATGTCATCGTTATCGAATAACAATAGTATAATAACTATAATTTTAAAAAAAAAAAATAGGTCAGTGACAAGCTGTTTAAAGGTACGAGCCCGTTCGGCGGCCAGGACCTTATTAGCATCGACATACAACGTGGACGGGAGTACGGTGAACCGTCGTACAATGTCTTTCGACAGTTATGTGGACTTCCAAAGGCTACAAGTTTCAATGAATTCCTCGATCAGATCGACAAAGAAGTAATCATATTATATAACCACTGTGATCTAAATACTTATAGTGCTGGATGGGGTGGAAAAAAAATTAAACAAAGATTGAGTGAAGAGAGGAAATATAATTACGTTAAGGTGTAAACCGTGGAGAAAGATGAGAGGAGATAAAAATAAATAGACTAAAGTGTTATGAGACAAGAGGACAATAAAGCATGAAAGATGTGGACCAGTAAAGGGAATGAACGTAAATATGAAAAGTTTTGAAGAAAATTCTCTAGAAAGCAGCAGCTTAAAACCACAAATGTGGCCCCGATATGTGGATGACAAATGTGTACGATGGAGAAGAACAATTATTATTATTGAAGACATTCTTGAAGCAATTGAAAGGGCGTCATATCCCCTATTTATTAAGGCGTTTGGTAAAGGCAATTGTTCATAAAATCTTAATTTAAAGGTTCAACTGTGAATTGTGATGTCTATTTATTAGTTCAGTAATTAGTACTCTCAGTAATTGGCTAAATAATAATCGTAGATCATTTTGTTTTATCCAGGTTCTCTCGTCTGGTTTTATTTTGATATTACTAACCGAACATTCAACATTTACACTTTAATTCTGATATTGCTTATAAGTGCTGGTAAAATTTAAGTTTTCTAAAAATACCGACGAGAGAACAACAGTTTTTACACCGCTAGAGAAAAAGAGAAATTTAACTATTTCTCTTCTTTTTTTTTGCGGTATGACACCTATGCACTATGCCACTGAGAATTTGCTGTAAAATGTATGTGAACAAATCTGTTCACAACGATACACGTTACACCCTATGTATAATATTATGCTTAATCATCCATAAGAACGTGGACGCACTGGCTTCATTGTACGAAAACGTGGACGACGTAGACTTTTATGTGGGCGGCATGCTGGAAAAATCAAAGCCTGGATCAATTTTCGGTCATACTTTCCAGTGTGTAATAGGTGAAAACTTTTTCCGATGGAAATTCGGCGACCGGTTCTATTATGAATTTGGAAATCAGCCTGGATCGTTTACTTTGGGTGAGTTAAGATTAAGCCCGTCAAAAGTGAAGCGGTGCTAGTAATTCTGTTAAGTACACAGAATCGTTTGAATTTGTTTAGTATACCTACCCGTTAATCTTCATTTCGAGAGAAAAATAAATTGCTTACCCTACTTCACTGTTGGCGCATAAGCTCAATATTAAGAACTGCGCACAATCACTTTCTAAAATGTGTCAATGTTTTCAGACCAACTGAATGAAATCCGTAAAACGTCTTTCGCCTTACTGATATGCACGACGACCAACATTAAATCAATACAACGCGATGCATTTTTTATACCCGACGACCAGTAAGTATTATGAAGTAATTGAAAGAACAAACATAATTATTTTATTGTCGCCTGGACTGTAAACTAATAATTATCACCTTACTTTTGGTGGCCAATATTTTATTGGTCGAGTAACCTCTTTTGAGTGCGCGGAGTAACCTAGACTGATAATAGTTACAGTTTATAATAAGCTTTTCGATTGTATTAAGTATAAATTGAGAGTAATTGGCGTTTAAAATATGTTAAGGCGGAGGAGAGATGCAGCGAAATACAATTACTTCTTATCTGAACTATAATTATTTTAACTTTAAGTAGGTTACAGAGTTATTTAAACGTATAATTGTGAATATTTATTTTTTATTTTATTAACTGGTTAATTGATAACTTACCATTATCGGGAAACTTAAGTATCGTTTTCGAGCAAGATTAGTAATCAGCAAAAATAATAATAATAACTATATCGATTAAAAAAGTAAAAAAAAACATGTCCGGTGTAGTAATTGAATCGGTCATATGAAAAATCCCATAAGTCACTACTTTAGCCAAAATCCTTTTTTTGTTGTTTTCTTTCGATTCCACAAGTGTAGACACACATTCCATCTCGTCACAGACTTTTCTTTTGTTCTAAATAGAAATATTTGGATTTGCAGTTCACAAGATAGACACCATTAGTCCCGTCTTATGGTGTTTCTGCAGACAATGCGATTCCTTCGAGAAACACCCTAAGTCGAAGCAATTTAATTTAAAATTTTTGCTAATGGCATAAAATAAAAAATCGGCTCACTACCTCTAAACTACTTCGATGTTAAAAAAATAAAACTAAATTGTGTTTTTAAAATTTTCTCTCTCCCTATGTTAGCAAAAGAAACGTTTTCCTTCTATAAAATTTAAATTGTGTTACTTAAGGCGCTTCTCATAATATGACCGATTCATTTGTTTCCATAACCGAATTTTGTTTTGTTATAATATATACTATAATATGATATCGTTTGTTTCAGAAATCCGTTGGTGTCTTGCAGCTCTATTCCAAAACTCAATTTGTCTTCTTGGAAAGAATAGTACCTATATAATAATAAGTAGAAAATGTAATTTTACTTAAAATTTTCTAGTTAAAAATAAATTAGAGTAGCAAATTTGATCTATTAGTTTGTGAATGAGATTTGCAGTTGGTTTAGTTTTAATAATAAATTATTTTTCACTCGCTATCTTTTAATGGTAAACTAATATCTTTACCAATCGAGTCTTGTGTCTAAATAGGCTAATGTTATTTTTCGTCATTTTCAGCAAATGTAGCATTTAAAAGTTCTGGTTAAATGTTGTAAAAAAATGTGCAAAACTTTTACCATTTTTGCCTTACAAGTGTAAGCAATTAATTATATTGTCAACATAGGTATAATGTTTAATGATTAAACACATTTTTGCCAACAAATTTACATTGGTCCTTTAGGACCTGAAGCGTGGGTATTTTTACTACCAATTTTTTAAAATTCATTTTTCAGTAATTCAATTTCGCGTTTAGATTACGGTCAATTGTCATTACCAGGTTTTTTATTTTACCTGTTAGCTAAGAAGTAATAAAAAATTATAAAATGTTCTTCCAGAGAAAAAACATATGCCGGTCGAGATAATAAAACAGTACAAGCCGATTTCGTGTCTACCCATGGTACTTCTTAAGACGACTTGCTTTTCATTAACCATGTCTAGGTACTCGTTCAAAACTTATTCGGAGTACTGCAAAACACTATTAAAAAAATAATACCCATCAATATGAAATCAGGCAATCACTCTAAATTCGTAGGAATCATATACCATCATAGCTATAAAGCGCGTTTTTATAGTTAAGACTTTTAGTACATGACTGACGACTGTCGTTAATTAAATTAATTAAAATAACGGTATTTACCAAAAAAAAAAACATCATTGATCTAGGTTAACGGTAGAAATAAAAATATATCATTAATATTACCTTGGTCGATGTAAATACATGTAATAACTCATTCACAAATGGATTGCAATAAATAAATACGTTGACGCGTTCCTATGCTTATCTATTTTTTACAATAATTGTTAGAATTTTTTTATTTTTCACGAAAAAAAAGAAAATTAAAAAACAACAGTAAAACTACTTAATTAAAAAAAAAAATAGAATGAAAAATCAATAAAATACATTAAAAAAAAAATGTTAACTAAGAGCATCAACTATCCAGTAGGTAAGTGGTATAATAATAAAATGTCAAATTAACGCGTTAACCTATATATACCTATTCATATAATATTATTTTTATTATATCTACTTACCTATTTTTAAATTTGAACTTCGGCTTTATAGCCCGTGTCATTTTATGTATACAGACTACTGATAATGTACTAAACACCACACACTGAATATCAATTTCTTACCTTTCAAATCCCATTCGTTTCACGCATTACCTATATCATGTCTACATAGCAAGTATAACAGTCATCATTTGCTTGCAAAGTACATCACTTAATGTACACTGTACGTTTATGTTGTTGCTCGATTATTCAATAGTTAGTCTTAGTTGCAATGTATAAGTTTATAGTGCAATGAACTGCAAATTATGTTAACACAATATGGTTTAGTGACAATCCATAAAGATAACTACTAATGAGTAATGTTAGAATGTCGTTGCTTGTTTGTACGCAATTCTCGAATAAAAGATTCACAACTTGGCGGGGTCGAGAAAGATATATATATATATACCTCTGTATTATTATAAAAAAAATTATGTAGAAGAATACATTTTGTATATATTATGATATGTCGTCGTCAATGAATACACAAATAGCATGCATTTATTCAATTATTATTAAAAAAATTAATTAAAACAAAATAAATGTTAATCAATGATAATAAATGCATGTATTATTTAAAACCATTTAACCAAACATATTAAGAGAAAAATATAATATAAACTGAACTAAATACAAATTAATTAACCTAGCCCGTAAAACCAACAAAATTAATTAATGCATTGTTTTTTACAATAAAAAAAAAAATCATTAATTCTTACAAGTATAAATGTTAACATGGATAATAATATAAAATTAAACATAATATATTTTCATAACATACACAATTTGCTTAAATTTCAACTAAAAAAAAAAAAAAAATAGGACAAATTGTTTCCTCATATATGGCTAACAAAAATAGCTGTACAAAAATTCAAATTGAGTAAAAAAAAAATATAGTCATATTTATTTATAACATCTTTAAGATCTAATAAATGACGATATGCACCACTATTTACACTGCAACTTATCACATAGTTAGTATATTTAATTAAAATAAACTATAGAACATTATATATTATATATATATATATTAGGGTAGATTTTTTTTTTTTAGTAGTTTCTCATTTACACAATTTTTGGTTTAGATAATTAAATTGACAAATAACAAAAACAAATAATAGTAATAATAATAATCTTAATACAAAATAACGGGCTCCTTACAATTTATTGTACATAATTTTAACTTACAAAAACTAGTTGTCTTGGCCTATCAATATAATTATTCAATTACCCTCAAATTCAAAATCATATTATTGCGAATTTTAGATAAAAATATTTTGCTTTACCTGTAACTTACACAGACATTTGTTAATAAAGTAAAAGGCGATAATTTATCACATCGGGAACGTAAGAGGTCTATTTAGGTAATAATAATAATAAAATTAAGTTCTAGACTAATTTTTTTTTTTATCACAGTGCATATTTAAAAAAAAACGTTTGTTCCTTATAATTTATCAGTGTCCTTACAAATTTGGTAATATATATATATTTTTTTTTTTTGTAAATTCATATTTACATGGCAGTGAGCGGAAACAAAACTGGATCAGTGAAATTATCGGTCAAATGGATTTTGAAATAGGAAATTAACTTATTTGCTGTTTTTACTATTTATAGTATAAATATAACCTAATAGAAAATTAAATTAAATTATAGTCTTAACTACTTAGTCATCGTCCATATTAAATAACAAACTAAAAAGCTTATAATTAATAATTGTATACAATATATAAATAAATTTTATAATAACATAACAATCAATAAAATGTATACTAAAAATAAAACAAATTACCACATTTCTTTTGCTTTTTTTTAAGCAAATCAACAATGAGTATAGAAAATGTACAATTCAGATAAAAATAAAATAGACTATACAGCTTTCTATTATAATTAAATATTTATGATAAATATGTTTAAAAAAATAAAAAATATTCAATAGTAATGCAATTTTAACATTGCGATTCCATTAAGGTTTTTAATTATTGTTATAAAATAATTTTATATTAATCTCATCATATAAGAATAAACGTAGTACACGATAATAACTATTATATAAATTACTATTAATATTTAATTACAACACTTAAGCAAACTTATATAATATTTATATTTTCATTTGCAAAATAATTTTTTGAAAAATATAAGGAATCAAGCAAAATGATTGGTATTTGATTCTTTCGGACACTTGTAAACAAATCTCGTATCTTATTAATCGTTCACATTAAGAGATCAGTACTCGATTGCACTACAATAAAAATATAATTTGTTATTTTTGAATATTCAATTTAGATAAGCATAGAAAACGAATAAGGCTAGGTTAATGTCGGTTATTGTTATTGGAATAAAATGAAAGTAGATAAAAAAAATATTAAGGTAAAATAGATAATATTTAATCTGATAAAAATAATTTTTTTTTAATTAACAAAAAACGTTACCCTTATAAGACCGTTAGTTAATAAAAACCATGAACTGCTTTTTTTTTTTTTTAATTGAGCAGAAATTATATACATTTACATAAATATATATAAATATATGTATGTATATATATATACATATTATTAAAAGAAAATAGTCCATTTTATAGTTAAATCTAATTGTAAAATTAATGACAAACACTGCAAATACCGATTATAGAAAGTATACACGTATATTATTATGGTGGTTTCCGTTTAATGGTGGTCACCGTAATGTTATGAAGCTGAGGTCATTGAGATTGATGATGTAATAATCCCAGAGCTTCTCTGGCATCCGACTGAGTTAAAACGATACTCTCAATATTTTTGTCTTTAGATTCTTCACTTGTATCTACTAATTTGGTGATGACCACCTGATGGTGATCTACATGTGGTGGAGACGGACTATGATGCTGTCCGCTGACTGCCTCGATGATCATCTCTTGTTGAGCTATGCTCGGACTGTTGGGTTGTTGTTGAATTTGAATTTGTTGTTGCTGCTGTTGTTGTTGTTGTTGTTGTTGTTGCTGCTGATGCTGCTGCTGTTGATGTTGTTGTTGCTGCTGCTGCTGCTGTTGTTGAATTTGTTGCTGTTGCAGCATGATGATTTCTTGTTCTGTAAGTTTTTGCTCGTCTTTGACGATAACAATTTGGTCATCGCAAGGAGGAGACGGACTGTTGTTTCGGCCACTGGCCACGGCATCGATTATCATTTCTTGGTGAGCAACGTTGATAATAGGTCCCGAATGACTCGAGTTTTGAATGAGTTCCGGCACCGATAGTTTTTGGTGATCTGATGAAGGCACGTGTTCTGCCATTTGCTGAAGGGCCGCTTGTTCTTCTTTCAAACGTTTAGTAATGTGACTCTGGGTGTGTTTTCTTAAATGATCTCGACGATAGAAACCTTTACCACAATCGGGGCACACTTCAGTCTTAACACCAGAATGGATAACCGCGTGCAAGTTTAAATGTTCTTTTCTCTTGAAACCTAAAATCATATTTTAAACGATTAATAATAATATTTACAAATAATTACCTGTCTTAACTACCTTTGCAGCAAACGTTGCACACAAACGGACGTTCTGGATTATGACCTAGCTTGTGACGCTCTAAGTGCTCTTTACGTTTAAGCCCGGCTCCACAAAGGTCACAAATAAACCTCCTTTCTATTTTGTGAGCAACTAAATGTTGTTCGAGCATTTCCTTATCTGGATACGCCATACTACATTCAGGACAACAAAATAAAAGAGTACCGTCTAGAGCTGTGGCTATGTGTATTTGGCCAGGACGTGGTTTTCTGGCGGCTGGAGGCTTCTTTTTGTACTTCTTTTTTCTCTTACCTTTTTCCTAAACAAAACACAATGTTTGTAGATAAAATGTAATGATTTTTTTTTGTTAGTGATCGTTTCAATATAATAGAAGGATTTATAATTTTAGTAATGGATCGATTTCTTATGTTGCAAATCTCTAGATCAGAAATCATACACTATTTTTATCTCAAATTTCCGGTCATTATAACTTTTTGAGACAGTGCAATTAGCTCTAACCTTTTATGGGATTTTAATTAGGTATAGTATTACCAATATACAAAGACCTAGTGTGGCCCTTTTTCACATTTTGATCACTTTCGATTATAATAAATCCTTATTTATGAAATCTCCAACCCTAACACATTCAAATTCCCACCATAAAGATTACACAAATTTGAACTCTCATCATCTTACACGTAATCATATTTTACACCTGAGCCATACAAAATTTCACTGTAACTTGTGCGTGTTGCAGTTCAGAATTCAGCTCTCACTAGTGTGGACGTGGTTTTATGTGATGACGTGTGAAAATGATTTGAGCTGAATATTAAGAGGTTAAAAATAATGACTTACTTGACTACTGGTATCTTCGTACACTACCATTTCATTATTGCCATCGTCATGATTTCCAGACGTTTCTAGATTATCCCTTTTATTGTTATCGGGTGAAAATTTCAAAAAATGTCCAAGGGGTAAATTATCGTGATTCATAGATATATAATCAGCCAACGAAACAGAATTGCTCGTATTAGACGAGTACATAACATATTGATTACCTATAAACAAACATAAAACTGACATAAATATATATATAATATAGTTAACACATTTTTTAATTAACAATAAATGAACATGTCATAATTAAATAGGGGAGAGTAGGCGGGTCGAATTGGGCTTTTTAATAGTTTCTATTAGAAAATCTAGTATTCTCCTACTCTCCCCTATATATTTAACTGTACATTACCAGAATCTTGTTCATTTTGAAGCCTTAATCGTTTGTCCGCCTGGTTGTCTTTTTGTTCGCCCATTATTTTGTTATCTAGCTGATTTCGCCGTACCACCATGTCTTGGTTAACTACCACCGCTAAAGGGAATGGCATACCGTTACTGTCAGTGCCGCTTTGTTCGATAATTACGGGTTTCACATCTTGTATCATTTCCTAGAAACACATAATATGAATTACAAACTCTTTATTATTGTACCAATATAAACGCATTCAATTATCGTGAAATAAAATATATTTGTAATTACTTGGTCTTCTTGGACGTCTTGTAACAAATCAGACGACTGCATTGAATCATTATTGTTATTATGTATTTGGTCATTTGACACATCACCTTCTTGTTGTAACTAATTAAAAACATTGAAAGTTAATAAACAGCTGAAAATAATTTTATCTTAGTGCGATTTTCACTTACCTGAAGCTGAATGCTTCCATTACTGTCTTGTATTTGTTGGTTGTAAGCTAGTTGTAACACTGGTCCGAAAACTGGCAAAAGTTTATCGCCAGATATACCACCTTGGCCGACTACTTGAATTTGAATTGTTTGACTTTGTTCCCCGGGTTTTGAACCAGGAACGGTAATGGGTATAGTGAATATCTAATCAAAATAATTAAATTTGTTGTAGTGCTAATAAGACAATATAAATTTCACATCAATCAGTTACTTGTCCTTGTTGGCTGGAGGACCCTACCCCCGTCAAGTTAAAAGCTAACCCATTGGAATCAAGTGGCCTTAAGTAGGTGACGCCTGCTTCATCACTATTTAACAAGGCCACTACTTGACCACTCGTATTAGAGGTGTTGACAATGGTATTAGCATTAACGGTGGCGGTTTGTTGTTGTACATTTGTATATTTGTTGCCAGTAGTCGCTTGTGTGATATTACCGCTTGAGCAGGTGTTAAACGAAGTTACTGGAGCAGCGGTTACAAATGTAGGATAACTTCCCGTATTCATTGTTTAACCTTAAAAAAACAAAAAAACATACTTATATAAAATTGTATCACAGAATACCAAAATATTTATAATAACATTTTTGTTTTTAGTAGAGATTTATAAATTTCAGTTAAAGATAAATTTATAATTTAAATTATATAGAATATCATATAAATTACATAATATGAGTATTCAAGTATAAAACATTTTTTATAAAATAAATGATAATTGATGGTTAATCTAGGTATATAAGGTAACTAGGTAGACTAGACTAATTAAATCAGTCATAAATAGAATTAACAATTGTATTTTGTGACTAAAAACTACTAATAATATTTTAATTAAATTTATGGAATTAAAAAAAAATATATTGCAAAAAAACATTATTAATAATACTAAACTATTTACCTAGTTCAAATTATAATTTTTTTGACATTCATAACAGAAAATAGAGACCAAAACTACACAAGAAAAAACAAAATTCATTTTTTTTTAAATTGTGTAAATTTTATAAAGTTTTCAATCAAAACTGTTTAAAAAAAGTTCTAGGTTTCTTGAATAAAATAACTAAATTGAGAAGATCAACTTGAAATGATACTGCAATCAATAATCTATAAACACAAGATATTTTCTTTTTCTTGTCATATTTAATAATTTCTGATCAAACATGATAACGGCAATTAACAAAATTATTTTTCCTGCAGTCTAAATATTTTTTTGAGATTCAATGCCGTCTTTATAAATTAATTTAGTTATATGTCAAACTGGTCTTATAATTTTATTGTGTGTATTTAGATGTTGAGATTAATATTACACAAAAATGTGAATGAAAACTGTAATAATAATAAGAAATGTGCTAATAAATAATAATAAAAAAAGAAGATAATTTCAGCAGTTGATTTAAATTAAAATGAACCAATCAGGAATGGATAATTTTTTATTTGACAGTTAAACAACCGTTAAATATTCAACGATTTGTTAAACTCTTAATGAATATAATCATGCGTCCAAACATAATAATGGCTAAGGTTCCAAGTTTTTGGTACACAGTATACAATATGCAACTAATTAGCAATTAATAGCCTTAAGGAATGAAAATAAGTACTTTCAAGGACTATAAAACCATTAAGAATGTATTTTATTTTAAGTGTGTTTAGGTCAATTTATTGAATTAGATTATATCATAATTTTTATAAAATATTTTCACAAAATAATAGTACTTTAAGAACATCATTATTCAGAAGTCATAACATGTCAGCTTAGTACAAGTTTTAATTTTGGCAAATTAATAAAGGTTATATATTATGGTTGAACTGGGTAAATTGCATCATATTGTTTCTTCTTTAAAAATATGTTCGCCAAATAGCTATACTATAGAGTAACAATTGACGTATACACATAATTCATAGATGTTATTTCCATGACAATTTAATAGATAATACTTTACATTATGTTTTCACGGTATGATTTAAACATGTCAGAGTTCAATTTCTTTTATCAAATTACTCCAAATACATTTTTTTTAAATAGTTCAATACCTACAAAGTAACTAAGAAAACTGTAGCACACAAATTTACTTTGGCGTAAAATACATTTACATATGTATTTATGATCGATCAAATATTGTACTTAAATTTTCATAATTACATTAAAATGTTGGACTATGATATATATTGACTATAATATTGTACAATTGTAATCAGTGACAAATTTGATGGAAACATTGAAAATTAGATAACACTTTAGACGTTTTATTGTCATATTGGTCAACGTCCCAAGATATATTTAACAAAAATTATCAACAACAAACAAAGGTACTTGATATATAAACAAAAAAGGAATCAGTACTAAAGTGATGGATCAGATTGTATTATAATATACTATTCGCACATTGATAACATGAAAATTGTATAGTCTGTATCCACAGTTCCCATTAACAGTTGAAGAGCTCGATAATTTTCCTGATTACTATTACAATTATTATTTACAATCGACATTACAATTTCCACAATACCTTTTTTTTTGACGTTATCCATACGACGCTGTTGTTCCGTGCTCTGTCGTGGAACGAACAGAAACAACAGTAACACAAAAAATCTTTCAAAACAAAATCTGTAACTAGGACATCATCTCGGGCACATTAATAACTCGATTACTGGGAATGCAAAATTGGTCAAAATTTTCACATGGAATCAAAAATGAATAAATCATTAACAATACGCGCACACGTCGGAATGTAACAAGTAAATCACACTCTCACAAACACACACACACACGCAAGCATTGACAATCACCAACTACTGGCCGGCCGCTTTCACTTTCTATCCAGTCGCGTACAGTAATAATGAAGGAAAAATTGTTTTATTCTAAAACAACCAGGATGTGTGCTGTGTGTGTGTGTGTGCGCGCGCTGTGCACGTCGACAAGACCTACTTAAGAATAATAATATATAAAGCGACTTTCACGGGCACTTCGCATTTGGGTACCTCACGATATGAAAAATAAAAAAAAAAACCAAACATTGCCGTCGTCGGGTCGGGTGCACGTCGAAAATTGGGTCGCGGTCCATATCAATCGGGAAATCATAAAAAAACAAAAATTGATTTTTGGTGGGAAATTTAAAGTTTATTTTTTTCGGGGAGGTTTTTATCAAAAAGCCCCGCGGACCGACGCCGACACGGATTTAAGCGGGCGAGGTCCAGCGCAGAAGTGTCGAGCGCACGGCGAGACAGAGTTCAGAGTTGAGGAATAAACCATCGCCGCCGAACAACAATAATAATAATAGTAAATAACAACCGCGGAAAAAGGTCCTCTCCGTATAGGAGAGGGACGCACACCACCAACCCAAGTCGGGATGAAAACATACGGCGTACACGCACATTTATTATACACACACACGGCGTTTAAAGGTAGGGGCAGAGCCATTTTGGAGAGAAGGCCCTGCACACGGCGGTGCGCGTACCGAGTGGTAGGTATAAGCGGCGGGGACACCACCGTACGAAAACCCAACACCACACACAACGCACACGTTATAATACTCACTCAGACGTCAGCTTTCGGTGGCCCCGATTCGACGTGGTGGTCGCAGCACACGCAAAAACTTTCCGGCTTGTTCGTACGCGTCGTAAACGGTAGGGAAAAATCAAAAATCAGTAACAAAACGGGGACGACGACGGCGACGGATAGGAAAAAAATAATAATAATAACAACAACAACGACGGCCCACTACTACATAACGCGTTTATCAACGTGTATACGGTCGCTCGTTAAAAACTACGGAATACCTGCCTTTCGCCGTCCACGTACACGCCATTGCGAATGAACGTTTTCACGAGCGCCGCCAGTGTCGCCGGCCGCACGGTACCGTGCCGCTGCGTGGTATTACCGTGCGACCTTGGCCGTGTGCGTGGGCACGGCGGAGACGCGCGTGTACTTGTTGAATGCCCGTGTTATCAACGACCGCGGGCGTCGTCTTGTTCATGTTGGCTGCACTGCGTTTACCGTTACGCGGCGGCCAAGAAACGCGCAAACCGAGTCGGCAGCCGCCGCCACCTCATAATTATTATTTTATTACTATATAAAAAACACTATTATTTATTATTATAAAATATAATAATCACGATGACAACAGGAACCGAGTTGCTCACGGCCATTATTCTCACGGCGGTTTGGTTTCACCAGTGCGGTCGTCTGGTGGTTTTTTTACCAACTAATCACGGTCAGGCCGATACTTATTTACTTGGAAATAAAAAAATAACCGCATATTGATGAAAATCAAAAAATGTGTCATAACGGGACGAGTCGGACGACGAAAAACGGTGGAAACGAAAGAAAAACAAAACGCATTTTTATTCATAACACTCAAACTAAATAATTTATAAATTTAATGTCTCAACAAAATAAATTTAAATAGTAATCTTACACTGATTAGTGTGCTAAAATGTATATTGCGTTGACTATTTTTAATTCCTTAATACAATTTTAATAGATATTACAAATTAAATGACTAACAACAAGTAATAAATTATACTTAAAAAAACATTTGTGCTCGATGGCTTTTGCTAAGGGTAATTAAATTTAATATTATAATGAGAAATGGGGTAGTACATTTTTTTTTTTTTGGTAGACAACTTCAATTAAATAATATTTTTGCAAAAACTATACAATTGGTATTATTTTTAAAAATATATTTTATACATTGCAAGTTGTGCAATTTATAAACATTTGTTTTAAATTAAAAGACCGAAAGAAGATCAAATATATTTATTTGATGATTGAAAAATATTTTAATTACACATAATTTATAATTAAAATAGATAATATTGCATAATACATTTCTGAAATATAAAATTTTGTTTCTTTTCACTCTACCCCAACAAATGAGACCAATATTTTTTTTTCAATTTTATAATATCAATTAAATTTTAATGTAAGCTAAAACTTTCTAAACACAAATGGTAACACATTTTTTTTAAGTAGACAAAAACTTATTTCATATAAAAATAATAATTATTTTTGCACAATATAAAATGTTTAATCACATATTTAAAAATGAAATGAAACACAATTAGTTCTGAAAAAAAAAAACAATTTAATCCAATAGAGCTTTTGTCCACATGCAGTTTCAAAATGATGGCAAATTAATTTATATTATTTTTATAACATTTATAATCAACAAAAAATAATAACAAAAGAAAATAGAAAGATTTGAATTAAATTGCACTTCGAAAAGAAAATAGCCCCTACCAACCGAAAAAAAAAACAAGTGATTCAATTCAATATTCGTTTTATACAATAGATATGTTATTACGGCTATTTACAAGGAACATATTTAGATTAGACAGACTAAAAAGAAAAAAGAAATAGATAAGAACTGTCGAGAGAATTTTGAGGGACTATTTAATTTTTACTTAATATTTTGCAATTATATATAAGTAATATGATTATTCATATAAATTATATATGAGCAGTTAATAGAGAAAAAAAACATTTTTGCATAAATACAATATTACATGAATAAAATTTAGTCAATGATTGTGTTTTATATTTAACAATAGTAAAATAATCATAATATATACTGTTTATAGAAAACTATATTGAAGCAGAAAAATATATATATTACGCAAATCAAAAGAATAACTAGTATTTTACAGAAGAAAACCTTGTTTGATTTAGGCTTAAATTAATTTTGAAAAAAACAAATGTACTTTAACAATAACTTTGTTGCCCACTTATTTTTTATACATATTCTTATGTACAATAAAAACATATTCCAGAAAATAGCTAATAAAATATCTTTTAGCTATTATAAATATTTTATATAACAATAAAAACTTTTATGTTTAATAATAATATTTATACTACCTTTAAGGGACACTATTAATTTCTTGTTGAAAATAATTTAATTTAGCACGTTTTACTTGTGGCTCTTGAAAATTGTCAGAATAATTTGAGTCAGCAACATCTTTGGATTCTTCAAATCCGCTCTCGTCTTTTATTTCTTCATCGCCTTCTTCATCCATTTCTTCGTCGACAACTTTCTGTTCTTCTCTTTGGTTGACTTGGTTTTCAGAAGACTCGTCGTTTATTTTTTGCTAAAATATATGTAAAATTTACTTATGAAAATTATAAACTACAAATATTTTTAAAAAAATTGTCATCAGGCTTTTAATAATTGTTTTACCTCCTCAACACATTCTTCTTCGGTCACTTTGTCTTCAACTATTTCTTCATGGATGTCTTGAATTCCAAAATCACTAGACTCTATTTCTATACCTTGAGTAGGATTGTTTTGAGATATGTCCTCTTCTCCTTCGACTGCTTCGGTCTTATGATGGTTGACCGCTTTTTCAATGTTTAAAGTATGATTCAATTTAGAACTATAATTTAAAACAGAACACAATTATGTTTATTAATTTCATGAAATACAAACATAAGTTAAATGGTAAATAAATACTGACGGGTCAAAAGTCTGGTCTAAAGCCTGCACAATAACAGGTGCTTGTGGTAACATTGATTCTTTAAGTGGTGGTGGTGGGAAAGCGATAAAATTCAAATTAGTTTTTGTCGAACTTCCTGTTAACAACCAAAAGTTTAATATTAACAATGAAAATCCACAATAAGTTTTTTAAATATTAATTAAGCATGACCGAATTGTATTATCTTACCCGATTGAGATGTTTGAAGTCCATTATTTACTATGGTTATATGTCTAGCCGATTTACTATAAGTCGTCACTGGTAAGACTAATCTAGACTTTAAAAATGTCAACTGCTGAGGACTTTGCATTTCAGAATTCTCGCTATTAGCTGTCGAATACGATAAAAAAAATTAATACATAATGTATTAATAAAAAACAAAATATTTTTTGTGAACGTGTAAAAATAAATAATGGACATTTACCGGTAGACGACACATAATGAAGGACACCATTTGTATGAGAAATTTTGCTCGGTGATTTAGATTGGTTTGAAATAGATGTATTTGGGAGAGTGGTTTCTTCTTGCGGTTGGTCCGACGAAGAAACCGGAGGAGATGGTGACGTTTCACGGGATAACGAGTCTGTAATCGATAACTCGCCTCCACCACCGCCGGTAAGATGATTAGGCGACGGCGGTGCACTCCTACAACGATTATGCAAAACCAATATAAAATACTACCTTACATACAGCCCTAACAAAACCTAAAGTAGTAGTAGCATCCGACAATTGAATAATAGAAATCAAAATTGTTTTAAATATTTTACTAAATAAAAACAAAGAAAGACTTTAATAACCCAATTGTTATTTACTAGTCAACAAATTTTGTTAAATCTTATTGGAAAAACTGTCTTAAAAGATAAACCGCAAAATTTTTTTTGAAAAACATTTATTATTTTACAATTAAATAATTTTGTTTATATAAATATAATTGTTATTGACGTGAACATTTAAGTAAAATCACTTCAGGGTAAACTGATAGAAATATGATTATGTTTGACCAGGTAAACAACTATTGGTTAAATTTGTTATATTGTTAATGTAGTTAGTATAGTTCATTACTATTAATAATAATAGTTGTCAAATGCAGGAGGGTAAATTTGTACAAACAATATGTAGTGATGTTCAGTTTAAATGTAATATTTAAATTACCTTGAAGACATTCCAAATGTGTTGTGTAGCCTAAAACTGGGAACTCCTCTTATTCGTCTACGTCGAAATGCCTGTTCGATTAATTTTTGTTCAGAAGACGGATCTATTCTCCAAAATGCTCCTTTTCCAGGCTCCTCTTGCGAACGAGGTACCTGAATAAAACAAATGAAAATATTATAATAACAAATAAGTATCAATCTAGATCAGTATAAATCAAATCATATATATATATATATTTTTTTTTACTCAATTTTCTTATAGCAAAAATGTCATGTTACACACAATGAAAAAAAAATTATGGGCTACCCAACTCCTATTTTTATTGGATTAAGCCAGGAAGACAAGGAGCACTCATTAAATAACAAACGAAAAGCTCTTGCTGATATAGGGCGACGAAGAGGAGAGAGGAAAAGTGAAACAATTTTTTTTTCATCATTTGGAATTGATCTAGGGGTGCTGTGAATTTGTTTGTACCAAATCCCACATAAAGACCACCCAAATGGATATATTCACGGTAAGTGGTGGCATTATGAAAACATTGGATGATAACACAAACATCTGGAATGATAATAATTGTAAATCTATGGTTTACCCAATGGCAATATTCCCAAAATAGTGTACTTAGTAAACCAAATTGTTTAAATAAAAACATTTTCAAATATAGTAATTCACTAAATTACTTATATTTTTTTTTTAATAATCTTTAATAATCAAGTCATCCTACATAAGTAAATTTACATAACACTATAAATAAACTTAAAATATTTACCTTTATGAAATAACGGTTTAAAGATAAATTGTGTCTGATCGAGTTTTGCCAACCTTTATCCACAAAACGGTAATATGGATAGTTTTTTGTTATATAAGAATAAATCCCACTGAGAGTAAGCTGACGGTCTGAGGCCGAGGCGACCGCTTGTACGATGAGTTGAGCGTACGAGTAAGGTGGTTTAGATTCGTCTCTGGATTTCGAATTAGTGTTACTATTGTTGTTATTGATAGTAGTAGCTGGCCTATCTTGAATCACAGTTTCTGGAGGACTGTAGCTTTGTACAGTAGATGTTGATGTTCCATTTCTATAAAAATCCCCAACGTATTGTTCACTACCAATGCTAACATCAAACACAGTGTTATCTATTGGGCTAGTTTCTTCGTCTCGATTATTTTGACTAGACATTACTAGGTGTTTACTAAACAAATAATTTCTAATTTTATAACATTTATAACACAAATATATTATAATGTGAAACCAGTCTTCTTACCTATCATCTACATAAATAGCAGAAGACGTCGGTGTAGCTATGACTCCGATTTGACCAGGATTTGCTACAGCGGCTGCGTACGCTGCCATTTGTAGATCAGGCCCAAGTGTGTGTCTATTATGGCCTCCTCTAGGGCTAGTTGGACAAGAATTGGCAGCACTAAAATATACAAAGCACAAATAATTAACGAGTATAAAATTAATATCCAATATCTACAAAAATACGTATTTATTTTTGTTATGAAAAAAAATCTCACCTAAAAAATAAATTAATAAATGATTTTACAATTGACTAGTTAGAAAAAAAAGATCAAGGTAAAAATAAATAGGTTCAGTGAAACTTTTCTAAAAGCAGAATTTACGGGTCCATAAACAAATTCCGTAATATAAGATTTTCAGTTAATCAAGATGTGTTTTAAACAAGTTGCATAGTATAAATAAGTTCTAATCTGTATTTTTTAATAAAAGTAGTATATTAGAGTTAAAAATTAAATTTAATCTAACTTACCTAAGAGTGCCTGTAGGTGAAGGAAAAGGACTCATAAATCTATTTTCCTTTGACAAGTATGTAGACGACTCTTGTTTTATGACTTGAGGGGGTATGTTTATGCTCAGAGGATTGGCATAACTCCTAGATGGCGTAGTGGCCGTTCTGGTTTGTGTTTGAATAAGCGTATTTTGAAGTATTGGAGGTGGTGCCATTTCATCGATTAACGAGTAAAACACCAATCGTATAGTGGTACTTGGAAAACGCATTAAACACCTGAAAATGGTAATATATTAACTTATAATTCAAAATCTATTTTTCATTTGAGTATTTGAAATTATTAATTAGAAAATATTAATAAATAAAAGTTTGTTATTTAATGAAGAGCTAATAATATAGTCATTTATATATGACTGAGGCATAACCGCAAATGATAAGTTCTTAACTGATTTCGAAGAGTTTATTTGGTGCTTGGACATATATGGGTATTTTTTTACATTATTAGCATTGTTATGGTATTCTCTAGACATTTACTATCAATTTATCAATTTCACAAACACCACCTACAAACTAACTGACCAAAATTGCAAAACCTATTGATAATATGGTTTAAGTGAAAAGACTTGGAAATGAGGATTTTGTGTCTGAAATTTAAGACAATAACTTTAATAGATAAAAATCAATGTAAAAGTAATTAATTTTTTCATTTTATAATAATCAATTCCTTTAATACCATTCTATTACAATATTGTCGAATATGGGCAAGATAAGATAATGTGACAGCCTACATATAAAATATATAAAAAAATAATAATAATAATAGTTACCAATACAATATATGTTATCACCTAATCAGAAAAATAAGGATAATAAATAATATATTTATTTTGTAAATTTTAGTCTCTTCAATTAATTTTTTTATAAGGAATAATATATTTAAAACAAGCGGAACCACAAAATGTGAATTCAACATACAATTGGTAGGTTGAAGACGGTAATATATTCGAATACGATTGAAATAATAATTGTTCAGATCAAAATAATAATTTATCGTTGATTTGGGAAAATAAAGTGGACATTATATAAACATAGATATTTATCTATGAAAAATTGTAAACAGTATAGCGATATTATCCAAATGGGACTGTCCGACCGATTGCTCAAACACTAATCTAGACTCTAGTTAAGATGGATAATATTATTATGACCAAATATTACAGTATGCGGTGTCTTGGCACACAAACACACACGGAATCAACAATACCAATTACAACGTTATTTTCGTCAAACGAATTATATTTCGGATAAGACATTGTAATTGTTATTATTGACGTTGGTTTTCACGCCTAACGTAACAACCTAGGTCTAATAGCGGTGATAAGAAATCGAATTTAATTGTCTCGTGTTCGAACTTTGGCAACGGGGAGACCTTGAAAACCCGTTATGATTGCGCGCAGCCATTTATAACCAAACAACAAAAACACGTTATCATCATCAACATTGTAATATTGTGGTGTTTATTTATATTTATTAATTCGCTGGCGTCCCGTATCATGTTGGAAAACAAAAATATTGTAGGTAAACACCGGGCGGCGCGGCTCGAATGGCCGAGCGTTGAGCTCGCCATGTGCATTTTTTTTTTTTTTTATGCCTAACAGCGCGGCGGGCCGTCGGCCGTCCGCTGTCCGTACCTTTTGGGCAATTGTAGCGCCGGGGCTCCTTTCCTCTGGAACACGCCATCGACGAACACGCCGTTCTTGCCATGGCACGTCAGATAAAAGTTGGGATGTTCGTACAGCACGTCCAGGTGACGGCGCGATATGAAACTCGAGTGGCCCATGTTGACATCCACCTGTCCCTTGGAGCTGTTCCGTCCGATAACGATGCGCTTCTGCCGTATCAGGTACTCCAGTTCCCGGCCCTCCAGCTTGGCGATCACGCCCGTCACGTCGTGGTCCGGGGCCCATTGCACGTTGGTCGGGCTGCCGGGCATGGACTTGAGCGCGTGCAACGTCCAATCCGTGTCCGACATGACGGGGTCGATGGAGCGGTCGCGGCGGTTCACCGGGCGTGTGGTTTTTGGACGACGGCGAAAAAAAACTACGGAGCGGCGGTCCGTACGTGCGTTTGCGTGCGAGTGTGGTGTTTGCAAAGGAACAATCGGCGACGGTGACGGTGTAAAAATGTGTGTGTGTGCACAGTTTGTTTACCAGCAGATGACCGGCCTCGGGTGGAGGGTGTGTACCACGTGACGATCGAACTGCTGCTGCTGCTGTTGACTGGCGGCGGAGGCGGCGTTGTCGCTGCTGCACATCGGACACGCGTCAAAACGGACGAACCAAAAGCCGCGGCGGCGTCTCTGTGCGCGTGCACGCCGTCGTCGGACTGGTGGACGACGACGACTTTCGGCCGATTATTCTGACGGGGCGACGCAGACGGTGAAAATTCAGGCTCGTCCCGCGGTATCGTACACGTCGTCCGCGTTCTACAGACGTCGGCACGGTCGGCGGATCGAAAAAACAATAAATAATAATAATAATATAAATAAATAAATAACAATAAAAAAAAAAAAAAACGCACACACACGGGATGGGTGCGCGCGCGCGTGCTATCTCGTATGCGTGTGTGCGAGTATATGTGCGTAAGTGTGTGTGCGCGCGCGTATCTGTATCTATATGTATACTGGCGCGCGTGTCGTAATCAGTTTCGATTCGGGCCACTCGACTGCGGACTAATGTCCTGATGAGTGGCGGCGGCGGCGGTGGCGGTGGCGGTGGCTGTCTATACTATGTATAATAATAATAATAATAATAATAGTATACAACGCACGCGATTATTAGACTGGTGGACCGCACGCACGCACCGAAAAACCTTGCCGATCTACGTGTAGTCGTCTAGTACCGTGCATAGAAAAAACCTATGCGTGTATGTGTGTGTCTATATGTACATATATTGTTTGTTTGTTGTGCTGTGTGTGTGTGTGTGTGCACAGGCGAGACGGGCGATTGTGTGCGGGACGCGGGCTCCGGCACAAAACAAAAAACAGCTGTGCCGGATCCTCTGTTCTTTATCAGACCACCGTGAACATGTCAAAAACGTTGTAAGCGCGTCGGCCAAGGAGAATGGAAATGTGCGCACCGGGGCAGCGGCGGCCATCGGACGGCCGTTTTCGCGACGGCGGCGTCCTCGGTCCTCCCACCGGCGACAGCTGTTTGTACAAAGTACAAACGTATTCGGTATTTTACTATTATTATTCCATGTGGCGCGTGTACGCCAAACGGAATAACGCCGAATAATTACCGAGCAATAATATTATTATAATGTACAAAATATTTTGTTTTAAATATCCATTATTGTGTGTTCCAACTTGGTCGGCTACGGTCGGTCATTATCGGCATCGTATGCTATTACGATTCGAATTATTACATTATATATAAATATATACATACCTACGTTTATAATAATATCGTTAGGCTTGTTGTTATTGCAAAGTATAATGTTATTTTTGTGTACTCAACGACGAATCGTAGGTAGATGGCCGATACGACGGTTGAAAACAAAACAAAACACTCTCGTCGGGACGACGACAACAACAACAACAACGACGACGAATTACTATTTTTATCAAAACCAATAACACCGCAATGTGATTACCAGAGACATAATAATATGTAAATTGTTATTATGATTTATTATTTTCGCCGTTAACCATGACTGCCCCCGTCATTTTATTTTTGGCGTTTTATTCTATTGATATCTCTCGCTCTTATCGGCTTGAAAAATGGTTGTTAAACAATGTGACCGATAACAACACTACGGTAGCCTGAAATATAGAAATAATATTTTACCTTCTGGTTTGCACGGCCGTTGGCTGTAAGTTTGTTACAATTATAAAAGTACATGATTTTGCTTCGGTGCGGGGTCAAGATATTAATAGAATATTGAAAGAAGAGGAATATCTTATTAACCATCGGACCGATGTCTTCATAATTTGAGACTTGTCTACATAGATTAGAATACGGCAATCGTACCCAAAAGATACTCTTTAAAATCAAAAACAACGCCCAAAAAATGTATACTTGTTTTTTTTATTAACCACGGCACGCTATAACTTTTTGAAAAATAGTCAGGTTAGTTCCAAACTTGTGTGGGATATTTTTTAGACATAGTACGAGATTATAAAACAGCGACAAACAAGGAATATTATTAACCCATTCCACTGGAACGGTTAGTAACTTCGTCTTTTTGTCTCTTTTTATACTTTTGGTCTTAAAATTAGACTGGGCAGATCTATTGAGAACTTTATTTTAAAAAAAACCCTTACCCTAGAAAAAAAATAACAAGGATTACTGACACAATAATTTTTATACATTTGTTCCATGGTTAACCATTTATTTACTCACATTATTTCAGGTTTCCAGAAATAAAAATTAAGCATTGTTACTTATACTAATGAAGAGCCAAGAAGATGCAATTCGTTGGTTCTTTTGAATGTAAAACTATTTCTTTAGTTGTTAATACTTTTACTAGATTCACAACTATGTTTGAAAATACAATATGTATAACCCAAACGCGTTCCGATTGTATTGTAAATTAAAAATGTCTTAAAACGTGTTCTTGGGTATTATTTTGTTTCCATTATGTTATAATAATCTGTTCAAGGTTAGCTTGGTGTCGATTTTTATCGATAATTTGCCTATACTTTACTCCTTGGGTAATAAATAATATGTAGTGTAGCGGAGGTATTTTATAGAAAACTATTATGTAGGTGTGCTGCAGGTATAACGTATAATTGTTATTTATTTAATTAAATTTATACAGACGTTTTAATATGTATATTGTAAAAGTATAAATTGAAAAAAAAAGAAAATTTACTAGCACTTTTATTTACAATTGCCGCCTACTTGACCTTGTTATATATAATTTTGCATCACAGAGCAATAGTCATCTATTCAACTAAAAAAAAAATTATCAGATAGATAAACATAAACGTTATTTACATTTTACACAGCTGAAAACTAAAATATTTAGTCACTTTACAAACAACATTGTAATAATACTAAGATTATATACATATTTAATGGTTCACCCGGTATATTATATTATTTATATACCGGGTGATCCATTTAATGTAGACACTTATTTTCTCGGAAAATATTTACACTTTTGTAGTATTTTCTAGAGCGCTATTAGGTTTTGAATCTTAAACGGGAACAATGAATAATGAAAAACATTTTGAAAATGTTGACTGTTAACCAGTTTCTACTAATTACTTTTAGTTGCAATTTTCAGAAAACTATAAACATTTATTACAAAGAGTTTATGTTAAATAAATGTGTTAGATTTCTTAAAAATTGTATTCTAAGTAAACAAAATAGAACGGGTTTAAAAATCAGCTAGATATTCACGATGGTCAAGCGTTAAAAATGTTTTTATTAATATAAAATATACACATAGTAGTGTATACAATAATAATTTAATTAAAAAAAAGCCACGTCTGAAAAAAAATAGTAGTAATAAATAAGGTGTATAGTTTTATATGTTTCTAAAATAACTATGTCAAATATGACGCATTGAAATATATATTTTAATTAGCGAAAATAATTAAATTTAATTTATAGTTCCACTAGACTGTGAAATTAAAGGAGATTATATCTCCAAGCCTGGTTAAAAAACAAAAATACTACTTTGTAGTTTGGAGTCAGTATATAGGCGTAGGAGTAGTTTTCGTTTTTGTGTTTACTAAATTCTACTCTGAATAACTCATGTAATTATTCAGTAATATCCTATTGACTTATCCAAAAAACCTATTGAGTGTCAAATAACATAACTATAATATAATTTATTAAGTAGATGAATCGCTAGTTTCTGTAATAGCATATATACATAGAACACCTGTTATTTACATTAAAATACTGTTTGCTGTTAATGTATCTATTTTAAAATGTAAAATTGAACAGCTGATGTTTAACTATTAACGTTAAATCATAAAATTTACACGATCCATCTAAACATATTTTAAGTACAATCATAAAAATAGTATTTAAAAATATTTTTGTTTTGGCATCTTATTTGGGATTATCAGAATTTCTTTCAATATATTGATGTGACATCCGGTGGATAGTAAATACAAACAGTAGTTGGTGGAAAATATAGGTATCTGAAGTCTAGAAAATAGTCAGAAAAAAATTAATTAAGCATTAAAATTGTAAAATTTTTATTTGATACATGATATTTTCATACGCTTAAACAGCTGTTGAAAAAAGAAAAAGAAAAGCAAAAAGTTTTACTGCACTCGTATATCACACTTTATAACTCGACACAGGCGGCAGCCACTGGTAAAACCCCAGTAGGTTTTTTTAATTGTTTAAACAGAATAAAACTGTTTTCCTTAAGGAGGCTCCATACAGACCATTTTTAAGGAGTTTTGTATAGGCAATATTTAAGAAAAAATTGGCTTAAATAAATTTCGACCATGTCAATAAATTTACCGGTTAATTTGTATAAGCTTCAAGGTATTATTTTTAATTTAAATCATTTTGTCTATGAGTAAAAGCCATTTTAGTCAATATAACATACATTTTTTGTTCCACCGCACAGGCTCAACCAGTGATCCGATAAGTAATATGAAAACAGATTTGAATTTGCCATGAAACTTACTTGAGATCGGTCGACGTACTTTTTTGATATCTTATTCTTACTATGTATAAAACACGTTTGAACATTTTATAAAATTTCAACATTTTAAAATAAAATTTAGAAAGGGTTAAAATTAAAAATTGAAAAAAGTACCACGACCGACCGGAGCCCCCTTAAATATAGTACCTATTATTCTATGTAAACGGGTTTTACTAATATTTTTTAACTGCACTATGCACATGCACAAATAATTTAATAAAATGCGAGGAAAAGCTTAAGGGTTTTGAAGGATACCTCAACATTTTGAATTTTGTGTTTTCGAGTGTGGGGATTTTTGAAATTACTAATATTATATTAGTAATTAATAATTATTAGTATTATAAATATATATATGTGTATTTTAATGTTTTTAGTTACTTAAAAAAGCGCATATATTTTGATCATTTTAATAGCTCCAAGTCTCATATAAACAACCCTAGGTGTTTTATAAGAAATAAAAATTTAAATGATAACCTTTAAGTCCTATGATTGGTGTATGAAAATGAAATATGAACCTGAATTTACAAGTAAGCTTTGGTTCACTTTAGTTTTTTCTCTAATGCTCGTTAACGTTTCAAAAGTTAAAACTTCAAATTTGTATTATTATCACATCTCTATTTTCAAAAATTAGATAAAAAAAATCGATTTTAGTATCAGTTTTATCGATTGATAATACCATACATCACTACGTTCGTTTTTATATAAACTTATTATGATACTTACAGACATTGTTGATAAACTTTCTTTACTTCCCAAAGTACATTAGTTAACACCTAACCCGTCTACTAATAATAATATGTTTATTGTGACTTGTTTAACCTATTTTATTTTTAGATTTTCTAAGTCCTAGCATC